AGCATGTTTGCTTCGTGGCATGCCCTTGGTGTTGAGAGGATTCCTCTGGCGTTTGTGCACCTTCGAGCCACAGGCGGCTCCAGGCCTGTCAGTCTGCGGAGCATCGGCATACCGAGCAAACACGCGGCGACCGTTTTGGCGCAAAGCTCACGGTTCGCGGCGCAGCCAGGAGATAACAAAGAACCAGACCTAGGCCAGGTGCAATTGTTTGAGAAACGCGTGTGTGTCACATCAGTATGGACAGGAGTGGTCAGAATTTCTAGAATGTTCCTTGATCCTGCGGTGGTAGGACTGACGGAGCAGGTCAAAATATGCACTGCCACAAGAACCCCTGCCAAATTCAACCACTCGTGGTCAAGCAACTGGCGGCTTCACTTCAAAGGGCTAGCACCTGATCAAACGGCCCCCACAAAGCAGTCCGCGAATGGGATTTCGCTCAAGGAACCTTGAGGAACATGAGCCGACAAACCATTTGCAAGAAAAGACTGACGCCTTTTGTTCAAGTCTCTGAGCCGCCCTTGCAGTACAAGCTGCCCCGCAGAGCGCCAGCAGCGATGCGCTCACCAGCCAAGGCAGTGTGGCTCGCCAGCCCTCGGCCGCGGCATCGAAAAAGACCTGAGAGCGGCAACTCGATGCTCAGTGAAGGATTTCGGCGGATCACAGCCTCCTCAAGAGGGAAAAACAAGGCCCGGACGGAACGCACGTTCCAAATCATGGGGGGAAGCAGTTCTTGCAAAACGCCCAACACATAGCAAACGACCAACAAAGAGCGAACCACATTGAAGGGAACCAAGCAAAGATCACGAGGGATCTACAAAGCATGATCCGATGACCCATGCCATGGAGTAATCACAGCTCACTTAAGTGCTGTCAATCAAGAAAGTCCAAAAGGCTTCCAAGTGGCCTTTGATGGTAATATGCAATGCTCGGCGCAGATCTCATTTGGGCCAGAATGCAGCTTACTAGGAAGAGGCACCTGCTGGTACCAGCCTTGCCACTCAAAAGCAACGTGCTTGTGAGGAAACCAGATATATCGAAAAGATCAAGTCGCAAACAGAAGTCGCTGCCCAGCCTGCACCGCCTACCTCCCCCTACCTTCGCCTGCCCCTGTTTGCGTGCGTTTCGGCACCTGGCTCCAGAGCGGCCCCAGTGGTATACCGAGCAGTGTGCCAACCTCAGTGACATCGGCAGTGCCCGGATGACTGCGAGTTGAAACGTGAGGATAAGGGGGCGGAGCCTGAAGATTGCATCAGAGTATTGGAAGGTCTTGGAGAACAATGCCACTGAGCCAAGCCAAGATGCAACTCTTGCCCCGCACAATGGCTCCTTCCCCAAGCCCAGCGCAATTGAGGGTCTTCTCCTTTCTAAGTGTCACGAACACTTGGGGAGAAGTGTCGATGTCACATACTGACAATGCCAAAGCTGTGTTGCCCTTGCCATGTCTGGCGCGTGCCTTGAGAAAAATCAATGTCGGGTTGATACGCATCAAGAGCGGAAGTTTCATGGCACCTCCTGGCGGCCTGTAGCAGCTCGATGTCAGATGTAGCTCTCATGTGGATCTTGGACCATGTTGCCCATTGAATGCGGAGTGGATTGCTTTGGCATATCTGCTCTCCCCAAAGGCGCCGAATTGCACAAAGGGCAAAGAAATTGGCTTCAGAGTGAGAACATGTATGGCTGCCAACAAGAAGCACATTTCCATGCGATTGCCCCTTCCTCTCTATTCGGGTCTGGGGTTGTTCAGCAGCTGGCGGATTGCAGAGTGGCCAATGGGACCCTATTGCTGCGAATGGCTGCTTCCAAACCACGCGCAAAAGCCGAAAGGGTTGTGTGGCTGGGCTTGCTGACAATTAGAAACACTGCAGCCACTGCCCACTAATGATACGCGACCACCAGTCCGTAAAATGCTTTGCATGCACCGTTGGTTGAGTGGACAATCACGTTGCACGCGTGCAGTTGTTCATGGAGTGCCAGTACTTCAATCTGACTGCTATACTTGCCGAGTGCTATTTCTTGAGCCAGCCCAGTCGCACCTTGATCCCTTCCGCTCATGGGTGAAAAGCCAGGCAAAAGCCTCTCGCCAAAGACCCTCACCTCCTACCAAGCAAACAGTGATGCAGCGATTCCGTTTGCCGCCCAGGGAACCCACCTTGAACCTTTTGAACCGAACTCCGACATCGAAGCGACGCGTTGGACCCCGGTGCTTCGGGGCGGTTCGGCCAACGGGGCGCCACCACGGCGAGGCCGAAGACCTGGCCCTGGCACTCCGGAGGCGCGCGGGAGCTGACCAGCGCGCCGAAGCCGGGGGTCAGCACCCCGTAGGCCACCCCTGCCGGCTCGGTGACTCGGTGACTCGTTGACGCGCGCACCACACGTCAAGCTGCAAGCCGACTCGTCATTCTGGAAAAAATGTGCCGCAAAAAAGACCCACAAAAGGCAAGGCTGCCTTGGCTCCTCAGTTTCTTGCCAGTTTGGGAGGTGATGTCTGGTCTGAACTCTTCCAAATCCCAGTCTGTCAGAGCCTCTCCCGAGCCCCAAGGAGAGGAGAGAGTTGAAGAGCGGATGGAACGGAATACTGCGAAACCAATCAGGCCCCGTGTCGAAATCATATCACCCAGCTTGTTGTGCAAAGGAACCCGCTCAAAGGAGCATGATTGAGGCATCATAATCTGCCAGCTTGACGAAGAAGCGTTTACTTAACAGGAAGTGATCGACCCCTCCGCGTAAACGAAACCCACCTGAACCTGCCAGTGGATGTTCAGGTTGAACATCAGAACGCAAAAAGTTCAAAACGGCAAGGAAATAGTTTCCGCCAGGCGGGCTGATCTTTCACCCAGCCGAGCTGCCAAAACCGCCCACGCCGAATACCCAGAAGAGCGGTGCTGCCAGGTGCTTGTGGACCTTGGGGGAGGCATGTAGCACGCCCCATCTGCTGGGAGTTCTCCCCAAAAATGTTGGAGCACACCCGAAAAACGTGGTGTAGACCATTCCTTCCCAATCCAAAAATGCCAGCTGAGCATTGCGCAGATGTTTGTTGCCTTGAAAAACGCAAACCGCCGCCCTAGACACACCGCAAAGCCGGGGCACGCCACCGAGGGCGCAGAGGCCCCAGAAAGCTGCCATACACAGCAGCGCCGCGCCATGTGTCTGATGGACGCCTAGGGCGGCTGGCTGGCTGGTCAGATGAAGAAAGAGACGAAGACAACAAAGACCCAGACTTTTGGATGATTGCCACCTCCTTTTCAGGCACCCCACAGGTGAGCATTCAACTGTGCCCGCATTTGCACATTTGACTGTGACCGTAGCTGGCCAGAAAAGCTTTAAAGCGCTTTAAAGCGCTTTTGGACCTAAGATTCAAGATTCAAGATCACACAAAGGCTCCCCATGGCACCTGGGTTACTTTTCAACTCTTCCCTCCGCGCCTTGGCGCATCAAGGGCGCGCTCAGCGCTGACCCAGCCAGCAGTGCCAGAAACCACAGAGCGCGGCAGAGAGAGGCGTTTGCCTGCTCCATGCCTGACCCAGTGGCGCTGATTCATCTCCAAATTGAAGGGCAATCCAAACGGCTCTTGGATGTTTTCGGGATTGCTGTGGATGACCTGTCAAGCTTTTGAAGGCGCAACTGCATCTAACCGCATTGATCGACCTCTGAATATGATAGATACGCCCTGAGGCACCCTGGTGTTTGATCATGAGACTCATTTGCCCCCAGTTGCTGTCGCTCTCACTGCGTCAGCTTGGATTTGCGTGGCTCGCATTGCAGAACGACTCAGGTGCGACAGTTGAGACCGGCTGACTTGTGGAAAGGCTTTTGCAACATGCCCAAGCAATCCTCTTCAAGGATCCGGCCTCCCTTCTAGTCTTCAAGTCACCCTCAATTTGCAGCAAAGGCACCGATGTATGACTGAAGGTACATAGTTGACAGGCCCCTCGGTGCAGGCGGCGTGTGCGTGTTCACAATGATTTCACCATCCGCCTTTGGTTTTGGAGCAAACACCTGCATTGCAAAGAGCTTGCTTGACCTTTCAGGGAGGCCTGACGGATCCTTGCTTCCCACCACAAGCCCTAGCAAGCCAGGACCTCGCTGGCGGCGGCGGTAGTGTTTCAAAGGTGCTCGTGTGTTGTTGCATCAAGCCATCCGGGAAGGCAGGTAGCTGGACTGCTTCAAAAATTCGAAGTCTCCGTGCGCACAACTAAATTCTGTTGGAGCTGCGCCGCGGCCAGTGGGATCTTTCTCAGGAAAACGAGGCATGGCAAATGAGCAGTCCAGGAGCAGGCAATTGGAAACCCCCTTGTTCTATACCTTCTGCGACAGATTTGCGACTGGGAGGGTCTCCAACTGGACGCGCCGAACGACGCGCAGCCCAGTTTGCTGAACACAGCACCGCCGCCAATGCGCCAAGAGGCCAGGCACTGTTCACTGCCAGGCTGATAATGGCCCAAAGCACCAGATACTGCCCCAGGAACGCGTCAGCCAAGCAGCAATTCAGTCCTGGCACAATGCGGGCTTTCGGTTGCTACCAATGACAGCGGTTTTCACGAACCGGGCAATAGAGAAGCCCTGCTTTGATTTTGCCCTCCACCGGCGGCTTTCCAAAGGGCTCCGAAACTACGTCCAAGGTCTTGTTCTCCGGCGTAAGACCATGTTCCCTATCAATCTGGGCCGACGTCTGAGCATTCACCTCCATTCAAGGGTCCGCACTTGCAGCTGCTAAGCAACTCCTCGCCAAAAGACGTCAGAGCGTCAGCATGTCCCATGCATAGGCACAACTTGGAGTATGGCAACTGGAAAGTGCTGCCCGCTACCAGCACCTTTGTTCGGGTTTCGTGGCTGCAGGACCTCTGATTGATCGCAATGAAAACGTGTTCCTGATTCCACGGGTCGAGAGAAACCTGATGAGCCAGTCGCGCCAAGGGTGGACAGAAAGGGAAGCGAGAGGGGACTGGTGCCACAAGGGAGCAGCAAAAAAGGAATGAAACCAACCAAAAGGGCCAACTGCAAAGGCAAAAGACCTTGGGGTCTTCAAATCAAACCAAATCTAACACCAAGCAAAAAGCAGATGCTCAGCACCCGATCGTGTCCGCAGCCAAGTAAGCTGAAAAACAAAATCACTTCTTCTCAACCCAGTAGTTCGCAGCCGATTGACATGTGGGTCCATAGTGTGGCCACTGTTCTAAACGCACATCCAAAACCGCACGCAATCCACCCCGAGCCATCCAAACGCATTCTAAAAGTCAGTCTGAGAAAAGCATCCACCCGACTCGTCCTTCGCACAAGGATCTCCACACCGAGGCGGGCGCCTCTTGTTCGCTCTTCCTCGTCTCGGGCAGAACCCGCCAAAAGAAGGCGCAGGCGGCGATGCTCACGAGTGCCTCCGGTGCACGGCTCAGCCGGCGCAAGGCATCCTCCCTAAAAATCAGAATCTCAATGCACCAAGCTCCCTAAATGCTGAGCAGCACTGAGGCAAAGTGAGCGAGGTGCTCAGTCGGGCGGGGGATTGCGAATTACCTGCATGATGTACTGTTGGATAGCCAGGTGAAAATACAGGCAGCCTCAGCAAAAGCAGGGATGCAGGGGGTTATCTGTTCTGCCAAGGCTATGGTCCATTTGGCCCCTCAAGTGTAGTCCGACCTCCTGCATTTCTGACCGAGACACTCCTCTTCGAGGACATTGATTGTGCCCAAAAAGTCTGGGAGCAGATGCACAATCGAAACAAATATTGTGTGCGTTTACCCAAGGGTTTCATTATGTTTCATCGGATATAACTTCAGATGCACGAGTACATGGTCGCACAAATTCGTAGTTTGCATTTAGTCTGAATTTCATCAATCCAAAAGCTCGTCGCTTCAAAGAAAGTCGAAGGAGGCACATTCGTAAGGTACCATCCAATTCTCCTTGTCATGAAATTGCCAATGCCAAGTGCCTAGGGAGGCACGTGGCAATGCGAATACTTCAGTGGCATCACATGATTGTCTAAGATCGGGGATTCCCTTGCTCGCACTGCCTGTGGTGTCATAACACAACGCAGCAGTGAGTTTGTTGTTTGAAAAAACCGAACGTCTAGGTTGGAACCGAGAAATTTACCATAGCCCGCAATTTGGAAAGCACCAGAATGATGCTTGGAAGCCTCTTCGTAAACATATCCTCGCCGTGTGCTTGCTGCTCCAAGCAGCCAAAGGAAACTTCACCCAAGAGGAACTCGGCTGACTGCGACCGAGCAGCCAAAGATGCCCAGAACCTCGAAGCAAAAGAGCCCATGTCAACTGGCAAAACCTCTGGGAGCAATCAATGAGCCTAAAATCCTGAGACACGAACTGCTCTGCCTTGCTGAAAAAAGACCAGAGAATATACTCATATCTCAACAGCATTCCTGGCCCCACTCTTCCCACGGAAATGGGCGGGGAAAGTGGCGGCGGAGCAAATATAGCACCGCTGGATGCTCGCAACATACCGCTAGTAATACATTGATCATGACCTTTCATAGCGAAGGAGCGTGCTTCTTGCTTCTACAAGATTGACCCATCGCCAATCGTACCGATCACAAGCCGCTATCTCACAACAATCATCTTCCATCTACGAACAAAAACCTACACAGCGCCAGCCGCCCACTGTCAGCAATGCAAGCACAGCTACGGACTTCCTCAGTGGACACAGCGTGTGGCAAGATGAATGCCCAACATAGCTGGTGAGTCATCATGAAAATATGCAACCGAAGCTGCAAGTTCCCCGGAACCAGATGCCTCCTAACTAACATTGGGAATTGGCCGGGTGACCCAGCCAACAACCCTGGCCAAGCAGCAGCAAGTAGCTGGTCTGGTGGGCCCGCAGAACGGGGTAGCCGCTGATGAGCGCGAGCAGGCCTTGGATTGCTTTGCAGCCGCATATCAGCTGTAATATCAACTTGACCCTGGGCTTTATCAATCCACGTTTGTCCCTCTGTGGACACTTTGTCGATCCTGATCCTGGTTTGCCAGAACCGTACTCACACAGTGCTTAGCATGTCCCTGCCAAACAAAAGGATGCTGACCGATTTTGCAGCCCACTGGGTAAGCAAAAAATGCCGAGGGATGCTATGCATGTGTGTGGAAAGCTAGGGGCAACAACTAGGCTCAGAAAAACGGAAGCTGCGCTGCAATCATTTGGCCAACAGTCGCTTTTCGGATGTCAGAACTTTGGCACACAACACGCGAACATAAACGCACACGAGTGCCCGAGAGGCTGGCCAAGTAGGCTAAATAGTCTTGATGTCAGAAGGGTATCCGTTTCATAGATGTTACATCGGGATTGCCAATGTAAACGCCTGTATAAGGTCGCATAAGTGCGTGTTTGCGTGTGAGTGTGTGTGTGTGTGTGCACGTACATGATTCATTCAAATGTGTGCATGCTGCATACGTACATAAATGTATGCAATGAACACACTCCGCCTTTTTGAGGCCAGTGCGCAAGCAGCTACCCTGATCCGGTGATGCGTCCAATGCATGGAAAAGGCATGCGTCCTCATGTCAAGGGCGGTGTGTGTAAGCAAGAGGGTGTCATGCTTAATACTTCCATGTGGCATGCATAAACATTTGGAAACCCTCAGCTGCACTTGGAATTGGAACCAGGAGACCTCCCCCTATGGTGACGTCCACGGCAACACCGAAAAGGTGGCCAACGCTTTTGCTTGCCCGCGTCTACTTAAGAATGCCGAAATTGGTTGCCGACGCTGATGCGGATGAATACGTCAAACTACTTGGGTTATGTTAATGTCAGGCCTCCTTTGATTTAAAAAACGAAAAAGCGCTCGCCCGGAATACTTGTGAAATTGTTCATGGGGGTAACTGTTTTTCAGCGGAGCACAAAATGGATACAGTTGGCTGAAAGATGGCACAGGTCCCTCATTTTTGTCCTGTACCTAGCCACATAAAGAGACTTCTGCCATCTACTTCCCTTTCGGGTATCAACCCCAAGAGCGCAGCCCGCACCGGGCCCCGAGCTCGCCGAGTTCTTGGTGACCTCCAAGGCCGAGAAGCAGTCGCCTGGCGGGAAGGCCACAAGTTCTTGAGGCAAGCCACGGGACATGCCACGAAGAATCCGCGCGGGGCAAATGCCTGTGGTGGTCAAAACCGTTTTGGGATTCCATTTTCGGGGTAGGTGAAAACACCCCCCATGTTGGAACCTATTTTAGTCGGGATTGGGATGTTCACTGGGGGTACGACTTGGCTTTTGACCCATGGTCAAATAAATGTATCGACGTAGCACATGTAAGTGGAGAGATAGATGTGGAGGATGACCCCTAGCTCCATTTGCATTCAGCTTTGGAGCGCGATACATCACTCAAGCCGTCTGGATTTCGAATGCAATCCGGGCATTGCTCCGGTGCTGTCCAAGGGTCACATCAACTCGGGTGAAACTAACTGCTGTCAACGATCTCGGATTCAGAACTGGCCTCGCTCCTTCTCATCTCCGCGCGTGAGGTCCGAAATCATGCCTCGCACTCCCCCAGCGATTCCCCCGCCAGTCCAACGAGCGAAACCGCCTGGGAGACCAAGGCCCGAATAAACCATGCTCAGGGCCCCTACGTGATTCCCCTCAGGGTTCTGCCACTGCTCCTTCCCTTCAAACTTCCACCAAGCGTGGAAGTCTAGACCCAAGGCCCGCGCAGTTGAGCGCTGGGTAAACCGGAGAAGCGCTCATGACCTCCAACACATTCTGAGCCTCGGAGTGTGACTGAAGAGCCCAGGTAATGTTGACCCCGGATCAATAAACCCGTCCCACTATTAGGGGGGTGTTCCCTCCAAAAGTGATGAATCCCCACTAAAAGGGGACACCCCCCTATTAATCAACCAGGGGTTTATTAATCCGGGGTTAACATTAGGCAGGAACCCAGTCTCCAAGACGGGCCAGGGAGGTCACACATGCAAATGGCAACACAAATAGCTCAGTGGCTGCTAGACAAGCAAAAGTGTTGCAGACAAACCAACAGTGCCAACCTCTTGCAACACAAACAACAATAGTGACCATTAGTCACCTCGCGACTATCACTCACATTCCCCGTCTCAGCCTCTTGCACCCGTACCACCCTGGTATGAAAGGAGGCACGTGTATGATGCTGAGTTCAGGTCTTGCAATGAGCCTCAACCTCAAACGCCACTCACAAGAGTTTTGCCAGGACACGATGATCACCATCACGAAGGGCGACCAGCTGAGAAAGCAGGAGAAGGACAAAAGTATCTTCACCAAGATGCCTTGGATGTGAGCTGCGCACATTGCCACTGGGGGGACAGGTCACCATAAGCGAGATGCCATCGGCATCAGCGGTTGCTGCCAGCTCTTCCACATATGATATGCTCTGGAAGGTTTGTGGGTGAGCCAGGCGTTCCATGCAAACGTGTTCTGCCCGGGAGTGCGCATACCCCTCATACCCCACACCTCCAACCCCGAAGTGCAGCTAGTCCAAGGCCGAGTCTCTGGACAGGAGAAAGAAAAGGATCACGGGCTTGCGGCCAATCCTTGCAAGAGCCCCCCGATACGCGAGCCGTTCGACGATTACTCTGATCCCTTAGTGACGCCAGGATGGTTGACGCGGCGCGTTTGGCTTCTTGCAGGGCTTTCAGGGGAGGAGCAACTTCGCCACAAGCATGCGCCAATGCTTAAAGCAGAGTAGAAACTAGAGCATCAGCTCAAAGTAGGTAAACCATTCGGTAACTAAGCATTAACGGACTCTGTGCTTCAAGCCTCCAAAGAAGTTGCAGCAAGCAAGACACAGGCCTGGCTGCAGGTGCATGCTTGCAAGAGTAGGCGTAGCGTCACTGGTCAGCAACATCCACAGAGGGGCAAAATAAGGATTCATGATCAGCGGAGTGGCTCGGAAATGCCCTGAATATATCTCACGGGCTGGCAATGCCACACCACGGTTGTTCTGAATGTTGCTCCAGTTGCAATGATCAATCTTAAGCTGGTAAACTCCCGTTGAGTTCAAGATGGCCTTGTGGCCTTGTGTTTAACGGTCATGCGGTGCCACCGACCTTATCACAAGCATCGGTTGGTTTCCCGCCCTCATTTCGCCCACTTGCCCGAGCGCCTGTCCATGTAGGCGCCCGCCAAGAGAACAGTGAGCAAAGTGACAGCGCTGGCACTGGAAGCATTGATGCCATTGAGGCCTTGGATACAAATGGGCGTGACATGCTGGCAGCTGGACGGTTCAATGGTTTGTCAAAAGTCGGAGGAAAAGAGAAAGGAGGGAGGGAGGGAGGGAGGGAGGGAGGGAGGGAGGGAGGGAGGGAGGGAGGGAGGGAGGGAGGGAGGGAGGGAGGGAGGGAGGGAGGGAGGGAGGGAGGGAGGGGGAGGGAGGGAGGGAGGGAGGGAGGGAGGGAGGGAGGGAGGGAGGGAGGGAGGGAGAGAGGGAGAGAGGGAGAGAGCGAGAGAGCGAGAGAGCGAGAGAGCGAGAGAGGAGGGGGAGACGGATGTGGATAGAGCTGATGTGTTCCATATGATAGCTAAGTTCGCTTCTCATGAACCAAGGGTCGCTCGAAGGAGCGAGAAAAGCCAGGCAACTGATCTGACTGAGCCCAGGGCGCGCCGCCTTACTCAAGACCAGGCTCTTGTCTGCACAGCGTGCCTGACCAACCAAACCGAAGGACAAGGAAGGAGGGATATCGTTTTGACTTCGGGCTCGGTTGGGGTCGTTGGGGGTTTGTTTGAGAGTTGGCTGAGGCGTGGTGCAGGATGGTCTGGCCACTCATTTGAGCGAGTTTGGGGTGGATCGAGGGCTGCTTTATGCTGGGTTTGGGGCTTGGTCTGCGGTGGCAAGGAGGTCGCTTGAGGGTTGTGGTCAGCACACCCACCCTCCCGCCCACCCAACGCGCCACACCCTACCCAGCCACCCACCTATACACCCAGCCAAAACAGTTGTTCCACCAAGTATCCCTCCGCCACCTTCTGTTTGTGGGCAAAGGGGCTTTCTGCTCATGCAAAAAGCTGCGACAATGACTGTAGCTGTTGCGCGAAGTCCTTGAAAACCTAACTATGAGCTCGCACAATATAGGTCTGCAAAGGGCTTTGCGGCCACCTGATCTAGCTTCCAAGTTGTTCGTCGCCGCTCCGTCAGTCATCGATGTGCCTTTGGCACTGGACATGAAATGCAGGGCACAAACCGGAAAACTGTGCAAACAAATGGGCTGCGCAAAAGCTAGGCACTTAGCAGTACGTTCATGCTCGCCTCTGCTTTCCCATGCACAACGAAGAAACAGGGAACAACAGCTTTCCTCCGCGCTGAAAGCTTCCCCCAAATCAGTCGTGTCGACCAAGAGAGCGCTTGGCGATAAGAACTCCGACGTGCCACCCGCACTGGGCATCCAAGCAGAGAGCGACCACTCTGGGCTGTCGCTGGGCTCTGGCACACAGAAGCTGCCCTGGAGCCCTGGGCGGAGCAAAAAGCAGGCAAGGCCACGGCAAATCACCGCCCCCACCTCCAAGAAGCTTCTAAGAACCTTCCCTAGGTTGTGCCCTCCTTTGGTTGTTTCCCTGCTATCTGATCTTTGTTCAACGATCACACGTGTTCGAACACGAGCGCAAGGCGAACTCCGCTCCCTCCCGCAAGCCGTCCTGACTTGCAGTCTAGCACTGCTTGTGAACCCCGTATTCTGTAATGAGTTAGCCGCCAGAAATGTCAAACCTTACAGTCTGTTGTGCAGGAAATGTGTGGTGTCGAACAAACATGTTCCCACCACCTTTGCTTCAACCGTCCTCGTCGAAAAGTTCAGACCTTTGCCAAACTCTGCGGGAGGAAACAGCAAATATAGTGCAAACATGCCTGATGGGATTCTGGGCTAGTGCTTGGCAGGAAGGGGGCAAGCTCCGCCAACACTCATTCAGAGAACTTGTGAAACTGCATGTGGGGAGATTCGCATGAAACAAGGGTGAGCGGGCCATGTCCCTCTGCCAGAAGTCAGGGCCGATGTCAGTCGCGAAGACTGAAAAAGATTCAAAGGATCCCACATGCTCTGAATATTACCGCCGCATGAAGGTGCCTCAATGAAAAGAAACGCGGCAAAAAGGGGATCTCGCGCGGTTTGAGGCTGTCTTGTGCCGCCCTCGCCCTCTTTGCACCCCTCCCCCCTCCATTTTCGGCCATGCCGCTGGATCCTGCCGGGCAGCGGCCGCCCACCGGTGCTGGCCACGGGCACTGCGCCATGCTCTCCACCTGAACGGGGAACTGAGGTGCCCATCTTCAGAGCTGTGAAAGTGATACGGCCATGGGTCAAAAGCCAAATCGTACCCGTGAACATCCCAATCCCCACTAAAATAGACGTAAAATGGGTGGTGCACCTACCCCAAAATGGTACCATTGGCTTTGACCCACAGCCAATACCAGTACCGCAGGTCGAGACTAGCATGACTTGAGTCGTAAGCCTAGAACGGCTGGGATTAATGTGCCGTGTCGAACTGACACAAAAGCCCAAAGCAAGAATGCATCAAATCAGAAGCAGAACGGCTCGATATGCTCGTGCTACCGGTGACATAGGTATGGTGTCATTCGATCAAGTCTGTGAAATTCATGGCCTATGTGCAGGGGTTGGCATCTAAGACCAAGCAGCCACAGCCATCGGTAAGTGTTAAGTTTGAAAGCTGGGCGTGTTTGCGAGTTGCTCTTGTGGGTGTGCTATTTGGCTGTTGCAACGAAGGGGGTTCCTTGCGAGAAACATCCATGTCAGTTCCACATCTGCATCGACAGGGTTCTTGAAACAATACATCCAAAAACCACCTGCTTTACAACGAGATTGTCAAAGAAAAATGACAATGTGATTTGTTCGTACCCAATAGAAGGGACCCTAATGCTGCGTTCCGCTGGCTCTCCACATGCGCACTGAGGGCGGCGCAAAGGCATCGAAGGGGTCGCCCGAAAAGTACTGGTACCAAGACCTCAGTCCATCCAAGGTCAAGGAACTGAAGCTCTCACCCGCCCCCCCCCCCCCGGTTTGACGATTGTTAAAAGCCTTACGACACCACAACGTGTGGCTAGCCAAGAGGGTTTTGCACCTCCAGCAGCTGAGGCACATCCAGAAGACGAAGATCAGGATCTTCGGCATCTCCGCGATGGAGGCTGCAAGGGCACCGGAGCATGATCTCTGACCAGAAATGATCAAACAAGGATACCCGCAAGGTGATCCTCGTGCATTGCGGCACGAGGCTTCAAAGACGTGGTACTAAGCCACCTTCTCATTTGGGATCCTTGTCAGCATGCCTTCGCTACAACCAACTACAAGGAAGTCGCGGCTATGGTTTACAAGCGTTCGAAGGGTTTGGAATGCTCTTCGGTTGCAGCTTGGCAAGAAGAATCTCACGAGAGCAAGCAGGATGGAGCCTATCCATCCTCACCCAACTGCAACCAAGCCCAGTCCTCCCGGAATTCCGCAGTACATTTCAAGAACTGCGCGCAGTCTTGATATGCAAGCGCTGATGAAAGAGCCCGCAAAATTATGCTGTTGAGAGGCTGTTGACTGCAAGCAGGTGTGTTCACTGAAAAGGTCATGCTGTTCAAAACAGGTCACAAGCAACTGACCAGTTACCTCAACCATGCTCTCCCTTTGTGAGATTCAGCACAGGAGATATTGATAGCTTATGCCCCTTCCTGCAAACATGCCACGAGCGGGCACACATACTTTGAGCATTGACCCTGACTAGCATACTCAGAGCGCGTGTCATATCCACAGTCCATAAAACAAGGATGAGCAGCCTCAAAGCTAGAAAAAGGCAACTCCTCACGTGTTAGCACTCACCGAACACATGGTTGAGGCGGGGCTACCACACGCATTGAAGATATGAATGTGGGTCAAAACCAATGGTACCATTTTGGGGTAGGTGCACCACCCATTTTACGTCGATTTTAGCGGGGATTGGGATGTTCACGGGTACGATTTGGCTTTTGACCCATGGCCATACGAATGTGACGAGGTCCGGTCTGGGCTCTGGGCGCCTCGGCTGCTGAGCGATCGGTAGCAGCCGGCACAAAGCAGCAGCGCTGCAGAGAGGGCCAGCGGCCAGCGGTCTGGCCATAAGAAACACGGCCACAGGCGCGGGTTCCACTTCTTAGCTTCAAAGGGGGGGAAACCCAGGCATTTCTTAAGAGCATGGAGCAGAGCAGGCATCATTTTGGAGGGTCGCAAACGGCCCTCAAGACACAGGCCTGGTCTTGAAAAAAAAGGAACATGTCTAGCCTTGTTTCAGCCTAATCGCGGATGCCACCGATGATGATGTTTGTGTTTGTGTGGGTGTCCTCAGCTTGCACATCACCTCCTCGTTTTTCGCCTTGTCGGATGGGGTTGGCAACCCAGCACAAAGGCGTCCCTGTGGCTTGCTCCTTGAAAACAGGATGCTTAAGTTGTCCACTTGCGGGCAACACCTTTCAAATGATAAGCAAATTCCACGGTTTTGATAGCAACTGAGTAACGAACCTGCCATTGGTTCAAAGGGACTTCTTGCACTTCAAGGAACCCGTGATATTGGAAAGGGTCGTGTTTCGGCAACACTTCCCCCACCGCGCAATCACACCAAGTCAAAAGCTACGAGAGCCTCTGAAGACAAATCAAGGGGAGAGGGGTCGGATCCGTTGAGTGAAGTGGAAAGGGTAATCAGCTAGTACTTACAAAACTCCCGTGAAAAGTGCTACCAGTGCTTTGCCCTGAAGCTGCAAAAGACTTCAGTGCTCCAGCGGTCGCCACACCTCCGTCGTGCGTTTGATGGGAAAGCCAGCCGGTTTGCGGGGGTTCAAGATTCAGAAAAATGCTATCCGGGCGCATGTGCGTGCAAAGCCGACTCCCTACCATGGGAGTTGGTGGGCACAAGTGCTGGAGGGAAACGGAGAGAGCGCCAGTGTCAAATCGCTAACCTATGTCTCAGTTTCACATCGTTCTTCCCCAAAACCGGCAAACCAACCATTTGACAGCACTTTGCCAAAGCCAAATTACACGCTCTCTTTCACATGGTCTAAATCATTGGAACGCAAGCTTTTGCTTTGATGGATACACCGACCGACACGCCCATCTCGAAACCTTCCGGGCCGACACGGGCAGCCTACCCGCGCAGCGCGATGAACACCGCTGCTCCTCGACAAGAGCGAACCCCCAAATGACGGCAGGCGGTTGGAGTCTTGCTCGGCAGCGAGCAGGCAGGAATGCAACCAGCAATTTGTCATGCACATGAATCCCAGACTTGAACTTGGTTCCGAAGGCAATCAGCGAAGCGCGTCCTGGTGTGTGAGCTTTGGTGCTGCTCACGGCTCCTGAACGATTGCAGGCGCGCGCAAGCCAACTTAACTGTCGCTCTGGAAACAGGATGCGGACCGAGCGCTTGAAAGTTTGCTTGCGCGGCACGTGCACCAAAAAGCGAACAATCGTAAAAATAAGCTCAGGCGATATCCCCAACAGCGCCACACCCTCCAGAACCCTCGCGGAACCCTCCTGGAACCCTCCTTGGAACCGCCCCATGAACCTTGCAGAACCCTCGCGGAACCCGCCCCGCACTTTTGCAGAACTCTCGCAGAATTCTCGCGGAACCCTCCAGACCACCTCGGAGCCTATCTGGGCAGAGACCCCATCGCTGTCAGCTGTTGGGGAAAAGCACAGTAAAGGGCCATGGAAACATGTCCTGAAATGGGTGTCCAGCAAGCTGCTTTTCATGCGCTTCCGAAGCTATTCTCTGGACACCCCGTTGAAAGAAAGACTGCGGTTAAATGCTTCTTTTCTTGAGGTTCGAGACTAGCGAAAGACTTGACAGTGAAGAGCTTCAGACAAGCCACAAATCCAAGCCACCAATCATGGCGCGCTGCCGCTTTTGCTTGGGACGCCGCCTTAACTGCACAAAGGTGCAGCCGACGGGCCCCGATCGGGGCCTGGCGGCGCCATCGGGCAGCAAACCACAAATCCAAGAATCCAAGCCACCAGTCACAGCGCAATCCAAGCCACCAATCATAAATCATAACGCACAACCGGTCTTGCTTAGGATGTCGCTTTAGCTGTTAAGGCACATGCAGCCATCGGGCGGCCCAATCGGGGCCTGACCAAGACCTGGGAATCTCCAAACCCTGCTCGTGGAACCCTCGTGGAGCCCAGTGTGAAACGCTTGTGGAACCTTACCTCAGGACTGCTCTGTGGAAATCTTGTGGAACCCTCATCTTGTGGAACCCTTTTGGAACCCCTGTGCCCGCAGCCCTCGTGGAGCCGTTCTTGGAACCCAAAGCCCACCGGGCCACGTCTGACCCCGTCAGCAAGTCTATACAGTGAAAGTGTGCTGACAACCATTGATTTTCGGTTTTGCTTCGCGTTCCGCCCATGAGCAAAACCTCGTGGAACCCTGAAAACCCTAGTTGAACTGTCGTGGAACCTTTCCTCAATCCCGCCCGGACCACCCCGCAGCCCCTGGTTGGTGGAACCCGGGGTGGAACTCTGGTGGAACCCTGGTAAAAACCGTGGTGGAACCCTCGCGGAACCTTACTTCAGGACCGCCACCCCGCAGCCCTTGCAGAACTTCGTGGAACCCTGGTGGAACCCTGGTGTACAGTGAAAGTGTGCTCAAACCATTGACTTACGGTTTTGCTTAGTGTTCCGCCCTCGCTGGTGGAACCCTAGTTGAACCTTACCTCAATCAGGAGGGTTGTGTTTATTAGATACAGAACGAGCCCAGGCAGTGCCTGGACATGTGGTGATTCGATAACTTGATGAATTGTGTGGCTCTGCCGACGATGCATCATTCCTGACCTATCAGCCTCCAACGGCGGGGTATTGGCCTACCGTGGCAACAACGGGTAACGGAGAATTAGGATGACCACCACCACCACGACCACCACAATGACAAACCACAAATCCCAGCGCCCGGGACAACCAGTGAGAACTACAAGCACAACAAGACCAATAAAACCAGTGAAAACGAAAACAAACACAACAAACAAAAAGGACCCCGAAGAACACAACGAGCACGACCATCAGCACGACCATCAGCACGACAACAACTGTGCCAACCAAGCAACCGGCCAACCTCCTTACCAGCCGCTCCTTTTACAACAAGACAGGGGGATGTAGGAGCAAATGGTGGATGGCGGCACACAAACATGGTGACATGGCAGTAGTCACGGTGACCCTTCCGCTCGCCCACTGGCGCAGTACTCGGCCTCACATGTACGGAGCTCTGAAGTAATGACACCTTCAGCTCAGAGACGTCATCACCTTAGTTTCGTACGCGATGGCTCACAGGCCAAACTTATCCAATCAGCCCTTGGCAGTTGGGAGCTTATGGCTCATATTGTGGCTACCATCAAAACAGCCACCCTCGACTCCAAGCCAACAAATGCTATGTCAACTGCCACAAACTTGGCCTGCGGAGCCTGGCTTGCGGTGCCTCTGACAAAGGGGGCCTGTTGTCACCCAAATCTCAGGCTTTCAAGCTGGTCCGCCGCATCCGTCCTTCTCAGACACCATGGACGTGGTGCAAACCCTCCAGCCGAGAGGCAGGTGTTGAAGGCACCTGGCACTGGGGTGACTTGCCTCGAGGTCCCAAACAAACCCAAGACGGGGTTGGCTTTTCCCACCCTGACCAGAAGCTTTGATTAGTTGATTCAGCCAAAAACATGTCGTTTGCCATGTGTCGTGTGTCATCAGGGTTCCAGTTCACTGTTGGACCACTCTATAGTTGCTTTGGGCATTGAATGCACATTTGCCGCAGATTCACCAGGCGCAAGCTTGAGAAGCATCTATCGCTGGAGAAGCAAGGAGATAGCCCCTGCAAGCTTCTCCTCCGAATAATACTTGCCTGGAGCATTTGACAGGAAAGCCACAGAGTGAACAATCAGTTGACACATGATAGGCTGCTGAAACCTTGCTCCTGCACTGCAAAGGCTTTGGGCCTTCACTTCCGAGCCGAACAGCGGACCACTTGACCGTCGTCTTTGGCCGTTTTTCTCCCAAAGCCGGGCCACATGCTGAAGCGTGAACTAGAGACTGCAAGTCTCAGTCGGGTCCAAGCAACTCATCATGCACATCGAGCCCTCAAATTTGCACACCAGGTTGGTTGCCAATTTTGACTTGCCGGCTGTGGACAAGAAAAGATTGAGCTAGGAAGTCTCACAACACGAAGCTGGCAACCAAACGGCCCAGCAGAAACTTTGGCTGCTTTGCCCAAGAAACACGCAAGCCGCTTGCTGATAATCATCCTCGTGTTTGCTCCACGAGTTGTGTTGTCCTAAACTGCCAATTGTCTGCGAAAAGCGCAGCCGCCAAAGTGGCAAGTTCCCTGAGATAATAGAAGGTTTCGGTGCCTCCGCTCGGGCCTGCAGAGCACAGCAGCAAAAGCAATCCTCGGGCGGAGCGCGGCTTCGGTGACGGACAGAGATTGCGACAGTATCAATGGTCTCAATACGGGTGTGTGTTGAAAAACAGGGTCCCCCAAGGATGTGTGCGTGCGTTTCCTCTTTTGATTACCAACCCTAACAACAGGTACCCAACAAACACGCAACCCACGCCTTTGGCGGCACCCCTCTCCCATTGTGGTAAATGCGTGCGCTTCTCTATCCACTAGTTCTTCCGAAAGATGACAGCACAAGCACAAGCGACAGATTCCGCTAGATCATAGGGCTTGGTGGGCTAAGGGAAATTCCTTTCAAATCGCTTATGAAGCTGTAAGACTACGTGCTTCGCCCTGCGCAAGCCGGCAAAATCCGATCAACTTATGGTCGCTCCTCCCGAAGCGAGCCTGGCCCCCTCCAGGGTCAACCCGTGAGTTCAAGTGGGGGCAATTGAGCTTTGGCGGGGACTGGAAAGGCAACTGTTGCGCATGATTGACAAGATGTGCAGCGTGGAAAATTGACTGAACAGAGTATTGTGGATTGGATTGTACAATACATGACAGCAAGAACTGAGTCCAGAGATTTCAACGCAACCAAAAAAGACTCCACGGTAAAAACTGGTGTGCTGAGCTGGCGACAAAAAGAAGCTTCATCAAGCAAGGGGTCACCTGCCCGGCTTCGCTTGCCTGCAATCGCCGTTGCTTCCCGCCAACACCTCCTCCCTCCCAAATCACACCAAGTATCGCCACTGCATGGCAAACAAAGAATGCTCAGGCACAAACAGCCGAGCGCGGCATTCCAAGCAGTGGAAGCTCGTACCATGCGGTCGTGCTTGATTTGCTTGAGTAGGTTGCACCGTAGTTTTGTTGTTTGGTGTTGCTTTGTTGTTTTTCCTGTTTTTTTGATGATTGGGCGAATGATGTCATGAAGTGGGGGGTGAAACAGAGAGATACGGTTTATTCTCTCTAAAGCTACATGAGCCTCAGCGCCGCGGCAACGGCTGCGAAGCTGGCCATGCGAAATGAGACTCCCTTCTTTTCCCAGCTGCGAGCCATCCCCCGCAAAATCCCTGGATCAAGACTTCTGGTGAGCCGTCAAGACCATTTGAAACCGAAAAGGACATCTCCTTGCAGGGCCTTGCTCTTGAGTCTGTCGGATAGTGATTTAAAAAAGGACCCATCAAATCACCCCCAAACAAATTTGGGGGGATGAAGAAAGCAAAGCCACCCAAAAAGCAAGTGAGGTCAAAACTGGGACTCCCCAGTGGTTTTCTGTCCGTGTCTGTTCTCGCTGGTCCTTTTCGGTCCTCCCGGTTTAGTGTTGTTCAGTATTGGCTTAGTACTGTGTTGCTACTCGAAGTGGCAATTTTCTCTCTTTCGTGCCCTTGAAGAAGTCGTATGCTTCCCAGGGCTTCCTTCTGTTGGCAATGTGATTGGGTAGCTGTAGGAAAGGATGTCGCTTAGAACTTGGCCATTTCGTGCTTCAGTCCATCTCAGTCAGTTTTGCTGACGTTTTGGTTTAGTATTCGCCTAGCATTGATTCCTACCGTCTGACAGCCAACATGTGCTGAAACTAATATGTCTTTGCTCCCCATTCGTGAACCGCTCTCCGACGATACAGAAGCGATACAAAGCGCAAGCGATCCTCCAAAGCCTCAATCAAGCACCTGAGGAGTCATCTCTGTGTGGCCACATGCAAGGACCCTTCAAAAGCACGAAAGCCCAGCATGATAAAATGCCACACGGAGACCAAAAGGGCCGTCTCCTTGTTGATACAATCTTTCATTTGAATCACAAGAGCACAGGTCGCTTTTGCGACACGGTTCAGCTTCATAGCTCTGACGCTTACACCTCGCAGCATCGCATCCTCTCTACTGGGTCCCTGGCAGTTCGGCGACATGGCGGCGAGAAATCTGACGAACAATGTCAGCCCAAAGCTCAGAGTTGCACAAGTTCTCGGAACCCCTTTCAGAAGACTCTGTCCCCCTTCATACCTTCTTCGCAAATCCTGCAGGTAACAGTGTACACCCAACTGCCAGCGCTGGCTCACCACTTTTCTAGCTGCGTCGCCCTCATCTGAGCCAAACCCAAAGTCCTGTTGTTTGTTGAGACTCCACAACATTTAGTGCGCCCCACGCAAGTCTTCCTCATGTCCTCTCCCCAATCCTCCCTAATTCCCTCCCCCTCCCCCCCAGCGCCTCTGCCCGGCCGGCACCAAACGAGGTGTGGGTGGGGATCCGTGGGATCCGTGGGATCTGCAGGCACGACGCCAACTTTGAGCCAGAGGCGAGACCCGTTCAACGTTGGCCACCCGAGACACCCCTATGGAGAAAGTCGACGGCTGCCTCAAAGTTCGCCCAGACATGTAGGGCCCTTGAAATGCAACGCTCAAACAGCGGAACCCAACGACCAACATCCTGCAGATGGAGGGCAGCCAATAAGCTTGTTCAGCTGGAGCGAGGAATCTTGCGTTTGCCCAAAGTTGCTAAGTGTGAGAAGATCGGAACGGGAATCAAAAGTCCGCAAGTTTGACCAACCTTCAGGCATTGCGAACTCCATGAATAGGGCACCTGCAGCACTCTGAAACTTAACTACCAACGGAGTTTATCACCACCACCACCACCACCACCACCACCACCACCACCACCACCACCACCACATCTGAAAGTTTGCGCAGACGAACACCCACAGCTTTCTGGCAGTCGTGTCATCCGATTTCGCCACACCGCATTCACTCCACCTCCCAAGGCCTGCCTAACTTCTGTCGTGTGCTCAGGAGTGGTCAAAAAGGATGAGAACAAATGTGAGAACCTCCACCTACGAGTTTGCACCTCCAAATCAAGGCGCAAACTCCTCGAACAGGTCAAAGCTCCGAGGTTGGGGGATTCCGCTCACAGTGGACAGAACGGCCCACTTGCAAAACATCCCCATTGTTTGCTCGTGATGAGCTTTCTGAATCCTTGGTCTTCATTCCGAATTCCCTTCAAAAGGCAATCATTGCGCTACACATTTCAACACAAGCAGCCAAGACCCCCAACACGACACCTCAAGACTCAACCGCGGCGGCGTTGTTTCTCCTAGGTGGCTTCGACTTGAGCGGTCCTCTTCCTAGGTGGCTTCGACCTACGTCCGTCCCGCTTAAAAAATGCGGCGAGCCCGGGCCACCTTTACAATCCCAGCATGCTCGCCCTGAATTCACTGCTCGCAGCCATGTCTCATCCCATGTACGCGGCTGCTGTTGTCGCAAGCCGACGGCAGGAGCTCAGCCTGTGCTCCCAAGCAATCAAAGCCGGGCCCCTCCTGTGAATCTGGGAGAGTCAAGCGCCGCAATGCAGAAAACCAACCGCCTAAGGCCCGCAATGGCTCGCTACAAATCCAGCTAAGGCGAGATGCGAGAAAGGCGGTTCTATTCGAGATGAAATTTTCTGCCCATCGACACATTGGGCTCCATGTGTACCGAGAAAGACCTCCGGCGCCTTCAGGGCGAATTTTGTGCCCAAGGTCAGAGAATCTAAACAGGGTTCTTAAAATGCCTAACCCAAACTGATGTCGGTCTAACACCGACCTATTCATGTGCAGCTTTTGCACGCGAACCATCAGCAAGTGACTTGCTGAATCCCAAACCCACACCGGAGCGTCGAAAATACTCAGCTCAGTGATGAGCTGAGAAAACCACTCTCTGCGTGGAACCGCGTGTTAAAACACGCTCCTTGCGAATTGATTTACAGCACCTGGCTGAAGCAGGCTTGCGGCTTGTGGAACCAAGGGATGTGAAATGATTCTCCCTCATCGCAACTGTGGCGCAGCTAGCTCTATAGCCCTCAATGGAGGCAAATTTTGCTGGAGACTTTCCCTTGCGCCTTGATTTCCACCAAGCCGCAGGTGCCGAAGCCAGAAATGCCAGCAACGAGATGCCCAGGCCCCCTCAAAGCTAGTGGGCAGTTCGCGACGCTGGCCTGTCCCGGGGTCCCTCTGCGCGGTTGGCCCACCTGGATGCAAAGGCGGACAAATGGCGATCATTGTCGTTGCCAACTGCTTGTTCACCTCGCGGAAGGATTGTTTGGCACAAACAAGAAGTGGGCATCTCTTTGCGTAATCAAGCAACGCAAGGCTGTACTGCACTGCTTCCGCTCTCATTCTTGTCCGGTCTCTTTCTCGCGTTCTCTCGTTCTCTGACAAGAATCTGCCTGGCTCACCGCACGGGCCGGCAGTGGCGCGTGACGCGGCTGCACCGCGCGGAGCAGCACTGCGCGTTGACCCAGCACGGCGCGTTCAGGCCAGCGCCTGTGCCGTGAACCCGTCGCTCATATCTGCCAGGCCCGGGTGGTTCCCATAACAAAATGGTGACCATGGCACATATTATAATATGCGACCAACAAGTGCTGCATCCAACAACGGGCTGGAAGCCAATGAAAACACATTGCGCAACCAAGTCTTTCTCTCTCTCTCTCTCTCTGTGCCTCTCTCTCTCTCTCTCTCTGAAGGAAAGGCGGGGATGCCACGTACGTGGAAGGTGTTCAGCTGCTGTGTCAGTTACAAATAATTGGTGTGCTCAGCGGATATCTGTTGAAGAAATGCCACAACGAAAGCGAACGTAAAAACTCCCAGGAACTCTAGGAAAAATGACGTCGTAACAGGATGCATCACATCTGACTTCACTCGCCCAAGGTGCATGACCTTACAAACTGCTTGTGATGCCTTGCTTTCAGATTCGTTGGACTTTCAGCTTCGAGTTTGTGGGGTGTACACCACTGTGTAGTGGTCTGAACCAGCTTCACGCGACCATTCCCAAATGAGGAGACATGAATTGGATGCCCTTCCTTCCATCAACATCACGTGTAAGACAAGACTCTTGGAAGATCACCCTTTCAATAGTTTCTGTCTGGGCACCGTGGACTGCGCTTCTGTCGCACTCTAAACATGAACCAACCGCTGCCAAGGGCACAAACCCGGGTCCGCAGCGTCAGGTTCCCCTCGGTGATGCTGAGATCCGTGGCCCCTGCAGCAGCGTCTGCAGACTCTGTTGCATTATCCTGCGCTCAAGCGAGAGAAACAGCCAGACGCTCATTGCCTCGTGTCAGCGTGTGTCTCACAACGAGGAACCGCTGGCAAATCACACTCCTCGGCCTGCATTGGTCTCAACCATCTGTATTACCCTACCTTACAACCGAACAGCCATTTGCTATTTTCTATGAGCCCACGTGGTATGAGCCATTGAGCAGCTGATCTGTAAGGTCAGTGGGTGCTGGTAAAGAGATAACAAGACAGACAGTGGGTTGATGTGTCAACAATTCAAGCAGGCAACACGGATTTCCTGGAACTTGACCGTGGCGTTTGTGAAATGCCTACTGAGGTGACTTACTGGGAGGGAAGGCAAGATAAATGCCATACACCTTGACCTTCTTCACTCGCAACATTGAGCTTGAGCAACGACATGTCGGACACTGCAAAGAATGGGGAGAGGCGGAGAGTATAGATATATCGAGCACAGAACGACGCGAATAACGTTAAACTGTCGCAAGTATTCCAGTGTGTTCATGACATGCTGTGCGACAAAAGTCGGGATACTTGCAGCCAGCACAAGTGCCTAAGTGCGGCAGCCACTCGGCTGCTCAGCCACAAAGTAAGCCACTTCAAGTGGCCGAATATGGATTTTCGCCAACTGTGAAGCATGCCGACGCAAACACGCACACAGACACAGAGAGAGAGAGAGAGAAACGCATACAATCCCTTGTGTCTACAAGTGCTATCAATTTGGATGTGCGAGATCTTTTCAGTTTACAGTCTGGCATTGTAAATACCCATCACCCGTCCTTCTTCGCCAAAAAGTCCTTCGCTGCCACCGTCAGCAGCATCACCATCAGCAGCCGGAAAAGCATCATGACTCGAATGTTGATGCCCAAAGGTGGGAACGCGCCTTACGCAAGCCAGGTGCTGAATCGTTGCAGCAAATCTTGAGCCAAAGAAAGGGTGCACAGCTGGTCCTCTCCAAACGAGGCGGCTCGCCTTGAAGGATTCTTCACACATGGGGCGGACCGCGCGCGAATTGTTTTCCTTCGGAACCTCTGTCCATGCACCAGAGCCGGCCTGTCGAGAGCTGCTTTGGCAGCTCTCCATCTTTGTACATTCACCGAAGCTCCAGGTGAAACTGTTGCGCAAATGGAAGGCTGTTGGGTATTGACAGAAACTCTCGTTTTTTGGCGTGCCGGAACTCCAAATTGCCAACCACGCCTCTCTGCATTTGGGCCAAATAACGCCAGCAAGAATGACCGGCTGCGGAAAAAGAAATCATATCTCGTGAATATCATTTGCTGGCAGAATCGATCGCGCAATTTCAGGATGATTCGAACCTCCGGATGCAAACCGCCTCGCTTCAGTCGGATCCAGTTCGCGGGTTCACGGCCATCACGGCCTGGCACGCAGCCAGCATTGCAAGTGGCTGGCAGTGGGCAGCCGGGAGGTCATTCCAGGTTTCAAGTCAGGGTTCAATCACCCTATCACCCTCCCCCATTTCTTGGAAGCCCAGCCAAGCTTCAACACCCCGATTTCAATACCAAGGCCAACAAATGGGTAGCCAGTTTATTCCACCGTGCCAAGATCGGGCAACTTTTTGCAGGGAGGGGATAAAGCCACAGAAGAGCCTTGTGCTGAACCCAGGAGTCGAACCACCCAAGCAAAAGCATGTCCTTGATTGCGTAGCAAGAACCACGTCCAGCCTTCTCCCAACCGGCAAAAGTGAAACCGAAAGTCGAGCCGAAAGACTCCAGGTCGGCGTGGCACGCCAAGTCCCGCCTAATGGACCTAGCCGTGCAGGAGCTCCAACGTCCTCGCTCAAACGGCGGCCGACCCAGGCTCGAAACACCCGACTCCCGTGCTTTGCAGCAGTAGTGTGCCTCACTTTACCATGCAAGGGGGGGTCAACTAACACGAAGAGAAGAGCAGATCCATGTACAACCTTTGAACATTGCATTTGGATGGCGAATCGCTTCATCTCATAATCGTCTTCTGTGGCCGCCCTTGATCACTGTCGGTTTTCCCTGGCTGTTAAGGCCTTGTCTGAGCATATGCACCCTCTGTGTGTGTGTGTGATTGTGCTTGTGTATGAATAAGCTGCATGCATATCGCTCACGTGTCCACATGTCACAACCCTGCTGTCCTTCTAACTACTGGAATGCCTGCAGAGCTGCTTGGCGCAATCTGCCGTGCTCCCAATTTGGTTTTTGCTCATGCAGAGCTTGTAATGTCCATGCAGTGGTGGATGTTGACCGAGAGGTAGGAATTGAAGTTGGCGACACAGCGCTTGTTGTTGCCGGTGAAATTGTCCAGTTTTGCTTGGATACTAGCCCATCTCAGCCGCGTGCCCATTGCAATCCGTTTTTTTCTTCTTCGAATCCCTGCCGGATGCAATTTGTTTGATCAAAATCAGCAACAACACCAAGGAGAATGCTTGTGAATTGTTGTCATGGGCTATCGTGCGCTAACAAAGAAGGTTGAACCGTTTCGACGTCAACAGCCCCGTCGCCCCATGGCCTTCAGAGTTGCATCAGCATTGAAGCCGACGCAAGACTGCAACATCCTGAATGTTAGATTTCCAAAAGAGGCTCGGACCATAAGGCCTTTCAAACTCAAGCCTGTTAGCGCCTGACAAAATTGAAAGGTGAGGAAAATGGGGGCCAAGAAGAAGTCTGACAGAGACCTGACACATGCTTGGTCAAGCAAAGCCCTGGATGAACATGCCCGTCGTTCTTCCTGTGAAAACGCCACCCGTGGCCACTGCTTCCCTTGCACCCGCTGGATCGGAATGGACTGAGCCCCCGCACAGACCAACCAACGCTTTGCCGCCGCCGTGATCAAACCTGAAGGCTGAACGAAGCCTCATGCTGTTGTGCCTTCATATAGTCTGCAGGCCATCATTTGAGAAGCCTCAGACCTCACAGATAGCACTTGTGAGCTAATGCCACAACACCAAGCTGGCCTTTCAGGCGGAAGCGGCACCAGAGGCCAACCAACCAGCCAAGCCAGCCAAGCCAGCCAGCCAGTCACCAAGCCACCCGCCCCGCCCACCGCACGACCGACGTTCCTCCTCAAACCAAGCGGCGGAAGCTGCACTCGGCCCTCCGGCGCCGACCTGCGAACACGAGGCAGCGAGTAACGGGCTGATGTCTTCCCCAGGCCGAGTGCCGTTCTATCTTGCCCATTCAGCGGTTGCGGCTGACGAGCAGCCCCTAGAACAATTCAGGAAGCAAAACTTCGCCATCCAGAGTATGTTGGTACCGAATCCTCAGCGCCTTGCTGCCTGAAAGAGGCTGGGTCTTACTCTGCAAAACCATGACCTGAGGTCCAAAGTCGCCTTGCTTGCAGATTAGCTTTGAGTCAGGGTTGCGGGCACCAGGTGATCCTACGGCTTGGAGCGTCACAACCCCTCTGTCCACCTCGGTCCGGCGCAACAACGCACGCCTTGCATAGCTACAAACTACCCTTTCTCCGCCAGCGCAGTTCGGCGCAGCATCCCAAAAATATCTCTAGTTGCAAAGTTGGTTTTAGGTCATTTTTGTTCCACGTTTATCACCACAGGTATTCCCTGCGACGGCAAAGAGTGAGTGAGTGTATGTCTATAGATCTTGTTACACCGCGAATAATGTCTGCTGATGCGTAAATCCTGGCCGAAAAAGGCCAAGGAATATCAGCTGGAACTTCAAAACCCAAAACGGACTCTGCTTGTGTATGCCAGAAGAAGCTTGAAATATGTTCCTGCAGATATGAGCGCAATGATAGTGGCGCAAGCGTTGTGAAGACACGTGTTGAGAAAACTCAAGAGAGGGGCCTCCAACGCCCAACCAAGAACTCGATCATTGCCTTCTTGCGCAAAGTTGCTCCGCTTGGATGAGTGTTGCTCGTACAAACCCAAGCAGCACGGCTCAGTTTGGGAACACTTCTGCTTCCGAAAGAACGTTCGTGATTGGTTGCTTTGGAAAGGCTGTTGCGCGCAGGATGCACGAGCATCAGCAGAAACCACACTTGCTTGTTAGTTTAGCCATGCTTGATCCAGATGGGCTGTTCACTGTCCATACATTCTGAGTTGCTTGGTCTAGCGGTAGCTGTTTTCACAAAAACTACAGACGTCGAAAAGCCTTATCACAACTTGTTCGATCAATTTGCTTGGTTGGACACAATACTGCTATATTTGGACAGAAGACTGCTCACAAGGACCATGAGCACGGCTAACAATTGAAGCACTTGCAACTTGCAAGTCGGCAAGCAGTTGCCGCTGCCACTCTTTCAAAATTGCCAGCCCTGGATACACAGCTGATTACAAGATTCGAGCGGCGCACAGTCATCGAAACCCAAGCTCTTAAGCTGATTGGTTCTCCTAATATCTAGATATGCAAGCTCATACCATCGCCTGACGCTTCCTAGTATAGCTTGGTTTGGAGACACTGCTACTGCTTACAAGGCTCAGGGGGGGGGGGTCAACAACAACCTGCGCCTGCTAATTCTAGATTCATTGGTTGAGACACACTGCTTGCTTGCCTCAATGCTACACTTTCTCCATCAAGCCATCACCATCGCCTGCTCATCCAAAACGGGTGTAAAACTTGACTGGACAACACACACACACACACACATGCGCTGCAACACACATCTCACGCACATACAGTGCACACACTCACTGCCACGTAGATTGTAAAGACTTCCGCAAAGCTGGATAGACCTCAGGTCTCTGGCCTCTGTCTGTTGCCCTCTGTCGTTTTCCGAAACTTTCCCGAAAATACTCACAGTGTCCACTTTCTCCTGAGCAACATAATATCAACTTGGCCCCCTCGGCACCAACGCCCACAGAAAAAACGGGTCTGAACCAGACAAGGCCAAACTAAAACTGAACAACAAAGCAGAAAACCAGGCTTGTCCGCCTGGCCTTCCAGCCAATCGCCCAAGCGGCCCAAGCTTTGGCGAGCCAGAGGCTCCGTTGTGTAGGGGGGAACAGGAATACGCGCAATACAAAAATGAAGCAACTGCTTCCGACTCAAACTGTCCAACCCCCCGCAGCCTGCACCGCAGCAGCAAGGTCTGCAGCTTCTCCTCTGCCAGCGGCTGCCAGCCCGGCCACCGGCCCGAGGTACGCACCTCCCAGGATGAGAGCAGCGACTTTGGGATAGCAAGCGTAGGTACAACTGTTCTGCACAATTCAAAGCCTGTTCAGCGGATATCGTCGGAGATTACCGTAACAGCCCAAAAGAAACTTTTGGCACGTTTGCAGCGGTCGTCACAGGAGGTATGTCTGTCAACCGGTAGCTTCAAACATTCCTTGTTGTGGGATGTGCTGCACGTGCTTTATTTCCCCAGTTTGGCTTCGCCCAATTTTTAACAAAGCAGGTTCCAAACCCGGCGAATCCAAGGGAAAAGGCAAGGAGAAAGGAAATGGGGGATGGGTGAAGATGAAGGGAATGGAGAGAAAAGACATGACCCCATTCCCCATCTCTTGACACCCATCCTCACACTCTCTTCTTCCCATGCCTTCCTACATCTCACCCACCTATCTGATGTTGAGGGTGAGAGAAGGCATGATCAAGGTGGATGCGTGAAGAGAATGGGCTGACTTGTCTCTTTCCCATTCTCCATCCACCTCCATCCCTCTCTTCGTTCGGTCTCTTTCACAACACCTTCTTCCAAATTAATGTTGTCTCATCCCCAATCATTCGAGCCTCCATGCTGGCTCAATGGCTCAGCCATTTCCCCATTCCGCTTTTTGCGGCTTGCGGAAGACCACTTACCTTTGTCAACACATCCGGCGCATGCAGTCAAACCTTCTGGTCGCCTCGAGCACCACCTGCAGGTCCTCCTTCGGCAAGAGCTCGTGGTGGGCCTCGGCTCAGGCCGAGCCAGTGGCTTGCACCTGAACTCATGGACCCCTTTACTAAGATGGAACTCACTAGGTCGCCAAAGAGTGATGTTGGAAGAAAACCATCTTCCGGGACCGCGTTGGTTCCGCGTTATTGGGCGGAAGGGTACAGGCTCAGATTCTGTTGAGATCACGCAAGTAGTGTCACATGACCAACAAGTGTTCGAACGCATTGCTGGGCTTGGCGATGTTGATCCTCGCCAATCGCTGCTGTCACCTTGACTGAGTGCTTAGTGTCTTGCATGTGCAAAGGCAGCTATGTTGAAAGAACTGCACTCTCCAAAAATACATTGTCTTTCTTCCATGTTGGAGAAAGGCATTTGTTGTTCTGTTGCATTCTAGAACTGGCGAGTGTGACTAATTGATTCCGCTGGCCAGGACCACCGCTCATTCCGCTGAGAAGATACGCGAGCTATAGCATTCAATTGACGGAAGGGAGCCAGGGAAGTAGCAAACAGCCAACAATAAGTTGGCAAAGGGCTAGCTGCTAGCTGGTCATCTGCAGTTTCACAGAACCAAGCCAGAAGAACGAAAGGCTGTCGATGCAGCAAAAATGGAGAGCACACGGTCCCCTCAAAAATCTTGCCACACCTCATCCCGTAGGCTTAACCCTTTCTTGCCAGCCTCATCCCAGCCGAACCAGCTGCGCGTGTTGGCCTAGTCGAAAGGCCGGCATATTGGCCGAGCAAGCTTAAGCATATTGATGGCAATTTTTCTGTTAGAAGGGCAACAGCAAACATCCCAACAGGAGCCTCTCCAAAGTAGAGCCGCTCATTGGACTTGGAAGCAACCGGAGCCCATCTTGCCCGAATGGACGAGCTCAGAAGACTCATGCCGCCGCCAGAGACTCGTTCCCCATTACCCGAAAGGGGCTTCTGGAACCTCAGAAAAGCACTGTCCTAAGGGCCAGTTGAGCGAAAGATATCAGAGCCATTCTCCAAATCAGAGTCCGCAGATTTGGAATTCTTGGCAGCTTTAGCAATCCAATGCCAAAAGCTCAATTTCGCTTCACCTACACCAGTACCCGGTTCAAATCAAGTCCTTTTTCCCCATCTATTCAGGTTTGCACCCGAAAGCTTTGGCATAGGGCCCTCGCGCCAAAGGCAAAGCTCAAAAACACATACCACATCTCCATCCCACTCTTGTGGCTTCGTCGACTTTAGGCCAGCCTCCCGCCCCAGGAACCCTTTCCCACCTGAACGCGATGCACCTCCTCCACCGTCTCCTACGCGAATCTCTGGCAAGGGGCTGGTTGAAATCTGTGCCATGGCAACTTTGACTCGCGAGCCTGGAGGTAGGGAATCCTTTTCACCACCCACAAGGTAAGCCCGGAACCCTGGACAACAACCCGGTTGGTTCAACAACGGGCTTTTGTTCGGAAGCTCACAAATGTTTGGAAACTCAAGCGGACTGACTTGGATGCAGTTGCGGGCCTGAAGCTTAATATCCCCCCCACCCCACCCCGGGCCTGGGTAGTTCCTGAATCTTAGAGGCTTTTTTTTGCGTTTGGTTTCTGAACCTTGGAGGCTGCGGCCCGGAAAGAGAAGGATCGCAAACACCCCGAGCAGCTCATCTCCCCTTAGGCTCAAGTGAAAGCCAATGAGACGGACACTCACCCCAGGCCCCCCCAGGCCCCCCCAGGCCCCCCCAGGCCCCCGGCGAGCCCTTGGGTTTTGCGGCTTTCTACACCCTTCGGAACTTCGCCTGGGTCAGGCCGAAGACCTCCGCTATCACATCGCTGCCAACGCCTCTCTGCCGCAGCTGCAAAATCTGCGCTGAGATCCTCACAGGCTCTCAAGGCCAAGCAAGGCCAGTGCCAGAAACGTGGATTGGTGCGTTGCACTTTGCGCTCTGTGACAAGGGACTCTTCTGAGATGGAACCAGCAGTGCCCAGACAATCACTGCCAATGGCGTATGCCAAGATGGAGATTCCTAGCATTCCTCATTTAAAAGATACCAAATGTCCAAAGTGGAGCACCCAAAGAGGCGGCCGTCCTCTTCCCGAAGCCGCCGACATTGCCGGGGTCCAAAGCCTTGCAGGGCCTGGAGAGGATCTCCACCTCCCCCATCCTGCCGAAGGCTTTGTAGGGGTCCAAGTCTTCGGGATCTGCGTGGTTTACACCCAGTAGAAATGTGGAGCTGGAGGAGGATATGTTCTGTATCTCAGGAAGAGACAACATGCTCCCGCTTGCTAGAGGTGAAAACTGCAGGCATCCTTTCGCTGTTGCAAATAGAACAAATCAAAGCTGTTCTGGCCACACGAGGCACTGGCATTTATTTTGAATATACAAGTTCATCAGGCCTTCACAAACCAAAATGCTGCCTGCCTTGCTTGCATTCGTGAGGCTAGCATTCCCGACTTGTGAGAGTGTGTCTGTGTGCGAGCGCGCGCTGCAGGTCATGCAGTAGCTGTTGATGAAACACTACATACAGAATAGAATCAATAGATCTACACAAAGGACAAAGCCGAAACAGAGAGCGAGCCCTGCTTTGTCGCCAGGGCCCCCCAGTTCACGCCCGCCTCAGGCGCAAGAGTGTGCCGAGAGCTTCAGCCGGAGGCACGCCCCGAAGGTGGAAGATCTTCAAGACGAGGACATACCTCGGATCTGATGCGGTGCGCGCACGTGAAGCGCTCGGGTCTGTGCAAATCCGCTTGAACCATGGTAATCCAAGGGAGGACTCTACCTACTCCCAGAGACTCCATCAACTTTTCCAAGAAGCTTGAAGAACGTGCGCAGCATCAACTTGGAAAATTGGTGGCTTGGGTTGCCTTGAAACAGCATTCCTCGACAACAGATAGGTGTGTGTGTGTGTGACATCAGCAGGCTTCTGACTTACCTTGCCAATTCTGCCAGAAGATGTGGATCATTAGGCTAAGTTCAGAATAGCTTTGTATTTCAACACCGGTAGAAAGCAGAGCAAGTGCATAGGTTCGGATGGCTGGCCAGTCAGGAAATTCGGCATAACTGGGCTTGGACATGTGGCAAAACAGCATGTTTGTTTCAACATGCGCCTCATGTTCGGGGCTCGGAGTCTCTCTTGCCGCTTCTGGCACGCGCGACTGCCCGGCGTCCAGGAAACGCAGGGGCAGAGATCCACAAAGTTTGCGCGCAGCTGGATGGCGCCTGGTGCCCGCCAGGGCAAGAGGGGACAAAACTAATTTTGTTTCCTCTGGACATGGAGAGATTTAGAGCCCATGTCCCTCGGTTGGCGGATGGACTGGAAATTGTGACCCAACCGCCATGTGGCCGCATACTGTCCTCTGCAGGGCGGATGCGGGTCTTGGGCCGTCATTTTCACTTCTCTGGGCTCACCAGTAGCCGCCGAAGCAACCAAAAGAACCAAAAAACAAACGAAGAAACCAAAGCAACGCAAGCAAAGTGAGCCAAGCAACCAAAATACAAGAACTACCCGAGCAGCAAATACAACCAAAACAACCCAAGCAACCCCACTGGCCAACCAATCAAGCAAACTAAATCCTCCATAACCAATCGCCCCAGGTTCGGCCCTGATTCCCACTTCTCCCCTCGCCTCTGTCTTTCAGGTCTAGCCATCGAGGCTTCTCGCAGCGGTGCACCAAATCCGCCACAGTGTAGTAGCCCAGGCAGGCGAGCCGCTTGTCCTGTCGCGGTGTGCCTGCCTTGACATGGAGCAGACTCAATCGCTTCAAACAAATGATGAAAATCAGAGCAACAGCACGGACATGATGTACACTCATGCGTGCGAGCGTCTGACAAACCTGCTTCATTGGCATCCCTCGGATCCAGAGTTGCTTTCCATTCGCTGCTTGCGCTTGAGCTCTGGATGAGGTGCTGCTGGATTCGGAATCTTTGCTTTGCTGTGCAACGTTTGCCGTCTTGCTTCTGCCACGTTTTGGCTGGCCCGTGTCTTGTCCTCAAGCCATTTGTCGGGCAGCACCTTGTAAGCTCTAAATCAAGGCATCAATCGGCCACCGCAACCTCGACCCAAATCGGTCACCGACCAGCGGCCCCGGACAGGGTCTCTCCTGTGTAAAGATATTGTCGTGATAGACTTCCAGGCACACATCTTGGCGCTCCTTACGAGGCGCGCTCAAGCGCTAGCTATCGAATGCATACAGGCCTCCTGTTTGAAATCAACAAAGGGCGAGCTAGACCAGTTCTCACCAAAGATGGCATGTGTGTAGGGCCCTTCAAATGCAAATCAAGGGGCGTTTGCTGCCATGTCCTGTTGAAAGGCCAAACAAGGAGTGAGGAGGCTCAGGTGTAAGTTGGCAAGCTACTGCAGGAGCTGTTGCCAGTTGTTCAGGAGAAATTTGCCCAGCCAAAGCGTCGTGGTAGACCACAAACTCCATGGCCTCCTCGCCTGTCCAGTCGGGGTCCAGCGTCTTTGGCCGCACGCTGGTGCGCGCGGCGGTGTTCCCCAACTTCACGGCGATGTACCTGGAAACAAAACCCGGAAATTGGGTAACGATGTGGCTGTGGTTGTCAAAACCAATGGTACCATTTTGGGGTAGGTGCACCACCGATTTTAGTCTGTTTTAATATATTTTAGTGGGGGTTGGGATGTTCACTGGGGGTACGGGATTTTGACCCATGGCCATGTATGTGTCCTAGGGATGGGTCAGTGGTCTCCCCACAGCAGGACTTTCATGAGGCGTCCCAGTTCCTATGACCACCCTGACAATCGTTGAAAGGCCGTTCTGTTCGTGTCGCGTGCTCCTGCAAGAAGCAGGGGCACATGATCTGAAACACGATGAAAAAGCACGGGAAGCCACTCTACGGCTGAAGCGCCGAAGGACGCCAAACTAGCAGTTTATTGGTCGAGAGTGGTTGATGCATGAATCATGGCAACAGAGACGTTCCATTTCAGGAACGGTACAATTTGAATGCAATATAAGACTTGCATTCCAACCATACACACCGGGATGATTAAGCTGCACAGCAACAGAGGTCCATCGCCAAGTGTGAAGCTTGTAAGTGCAATCACTGGCCCTGAGCCCTGATGCTTGGCACTCTGCATTGAAGCCTTGTTCTGCAAGTCACTCTGGACACATGTTGAAAACAGCGCGACAAAGAAAGCCAAGAAGCAAAAAGGAGGCAGGAAGCGCAGTTCGGAAGGAATCGCCCCAAGATCCGCATAAGCTTCCCGAAAGCCACCATCTCCGCCCGCGCGCCCCGAGAAGGCCACTGGGCACGGGTCGCTGCGGCCGTAGAAGTCCGCTGCCGGCAGGCCGCGTGCTGCCTGCACCTGGCCGCATGCCTTGACCCGGTGGACCCATTCGACCCACCCCTCGCGGGTCGACCGATTTGCTCCCGTGCGGACCCTTTTCCCACGCGTTCGTTGCCTTCTCAAGCGCGAATCGGCCCTGGCTATGAACCTTGTGGGCTGGCCGAAACAGACCATAGCTGCCCTGCACATGTGTTGACAACATGCAGGCAGCCAGAAAAAGTCCAAAGACCACCGGGAGTCTACTTCATGGAATCAACCTCCGCCTTCACCTCCATGCGCCTCTTCGTCAGGGGGTTGGCAAGAGCAGCAACGAAGGCAGCCCCGTAGATGAGCACCAGCGAGATGCCACCCACCAACCAGCTCTGCAGCATGGCCACCACGCTGTCGTAGGCGCCCGCGGGCTGCTCAAGTGCCAAGGGCGCGAGCCCGGCAAAGGTCGCCCCCAGCACGCGGGCGTCCACCTCGGGTGCGGATGCGCTGGAGGGAGCCGACACAAAGGCCCTGCTGGCAAAGAGAGCGCCAAGCGCCGCTGCGACCAGGAGAGCGCTGCCACGGCGAGCCATCTCCGCTGTCGTGTCTATCCGGCGTTTGGGCGGGGGGCAAAAATGCGAGAGCCGAAATGGCTTCAGGAGCATGCCCAATCTCAATGATGCTTGCACTCTAGAAAAAATGCTTCGTGTTTACCTGTGTCTGTTCTCCGTTCCGAAGCTAGCTTAGAGCCTTTGCATGCAGTCTTTCTGCGAAGCCCCACTTCCAGACTCGCGCAGCAAGGCTCGAGCTTGCCCACATCTCATTTACGTGGTCTCTTTGAATCAACTCCGAATGATTCATCTGCGGGTTTCAGAGATGCAAGCCACTTCGAAGCAATCGATGCCTGCAAGCGCAGCACGCCAATGGGCGGCGGGCACCGAAAGTCCGGCATGTCGTCGATCTTTGTATTGGCAAAGCCTCACTTCGCTCAGCCCAGGTGCTGCAACCTCTGACGTGTCGCGATCCCTTCCCTTTAGCCAAATAGCCTTCAGAAGGTTCCAACAGTATCCTGGTCCAAAACATTCCAAAACAAAGGAACTGAAGCTGCAATTCGCATTGCTGCCTGCTCCTTGGCCGCAGAATGGTCCCAAAAAGTTCCACGCAGCCGAGGGTCCCAGGAACTCAAACGGGCGGTTGTCATGAAATAGGAGCAAGGAGCAAAACAAATCAACACACGACAAGCACAAACAGTACAGGCGGTACATGTGGCATGACTTGCAGTGCGTCCAGGGCTCGCTGGGTCATCCGCTGTGGTAGGACCATCACCTATGGTCGGCTCGGGAAGGCGGGAAGGCCTGTGCTTTGGGATCCTGTGTCAGGGACTTGTGGTTGACAATGCTCCGGCTGATATACGAATCCGCTCGCTTACCAAATGCATTCCCCATATGCATGCATGGAGCCTCTGGTTCTCCACCCAAGCTCGCCGATGTCGGGTCGCAGCTGACAGTTTAGCTTTGTGAACGAGGCAACCTTGTTCCCGAAAGCAAACAATTGCAATGGATGCTAAAACCACAGCTGCAGCTCGTACCCAACATCCACCAATACCTAACTCGGCCAGATCAACTCACACGAGTCTCAAGCCAGGCCAATCCAAGTGAATGCCAAGCTGGAACTGTTGAACCTATGCCAAACCGAACCTAGCAAATGGATAAGCCAGCATCCCGCCCCAGCATCCACAGTCGAGGCGCCATCTTGAAAGCTTCCGCCATCAATTCGCTCACCTCAAGACGAATGGCATGGATCCAGGGGAGAGAGGAAGAGAGGGAGCGAGGGAGCGAGGGAGCGGGAGCGGGAGAGGGCAGAGGGAAGAAGGGGAGAGGGGGAGAGGGGGAGAGGGGAGAGGGGGAGAGGGGGAGAGGGGGGGAGAGGGGGGAGAGAGGGGAGAGGGAGAGGGGGAGAGAGAGAAGGGGGAGAGAAGGGGGGAGAGAAGGGGGGAGAGAAGGGGGGGAGAGAAGGGGGGGAGAGAAGGGGGGGGAGAAGGGGGGTGAGAAGGGGGGAGAAGGGGGGGGGAAGGGGGGGGTGGAGAAGGGGGGGGGAGAAGGGGGGGAGAAGGGGGCGAAGGGGGGAGGGGAAGGGGGGAGGGGAGGGAGGGAAGGGGGAAGGGGGGGGAGGGAAGGGGAAGGGGGGGGGAGGGAAGGGGGAAGGGGGGGAGGGAAGGAAGGGGGAGGGAAGGTGGGAAGGGGGGGGGGAGGGAAGGGGGGGGGAGGGAAGGGGGGGGGGAGGGAAGGGGGGGAGAAGGGGGGGAGAAGGGGGGGAGAAGAGGGGGAGAAGAGGGGGAGAAGAGGGGGAGAAGGGGGGGGGAGAGGGGGTAGGCAGAGGGGGAAAAAAATCTCTTCGAATGGACTTAAACGCCAACCTGAATGAAGTGTGCCCTGGGTTGGTGCGCACATGAGTGTTGAAATTGCCGCTGCTTGCTTCACGGTTTCATCAAGAAAAATATGACTGGGATGCGCAGGATCGTACTGAACTCTGCAAGTACACAACATGTGTACACACGCACGCATGCACATATGAACGCCTACATCCATGTGTACAAACGCCCGCCCGCCCACACGCACCAACTCTCTCTCTCTCTCTCTCTCTCTCTCTCTCTCTCTCTCTCTCTCTCTCTCTCTCTCTCTCCACTCGTTACACAACTCAACAGCTGAGACAACTTTTCCAGGCACCTCCAGCCCCTTGCTTTGCCGAGGAACAGTATTATCGACAGCTGCCCACCTGGCGCTCGCGCAACATGGGCATCTGCCCAAACAAGCACCCGTGGAAAAAACAACATGGGTATAGAAAAAAGCATGAGTATAGACTAGAGGCCACAACAATGATATGTGGTGCGACTATTGGTTCAAACGAGTATTTGCATAATCCTACGGGAGGAAAAGCCGGACATTCCGCTGGAAACTACATGTAGCTACAGACTCACCCAAGAATCGACCCCACTTTAGCAAACCTCATTGAATGTGAAATGCTGAAGGTGCATTCCTCCCCTGCCTCATCCAAGAGATCAGTTTGTAAGTGCTGTGAATCGAAGGTTGCCTAGTGAGTCAGGACTGATTCAAAGAAACCACTGGGACCCCCAGCTGAGATTTCAAAAGAACAAACACGCCGGGACACCCAGGCGGGATTTCTAACAAAAAAACAAAAGACGGGACGCTTCAGGCATGATGTCAACGGGGCCGTGGTGTCTTTTGCTTTGCAATCAGCAGTCGCTCACTCACTTGCTTGCTCGATGCGTCTGTGAAAAAAGCACTAAAATGAGAATTCAAGATGAGAAATTACAAAACAAACACGGCTGGTGTGAACTCAAAAAAAAATGCGGTTCCCAAAAAAAAACACCGAGCGAGGGCCTCTCCGGAGAAAAACAACCAAGACCCCGAGAATGCGAGTCCAAAATATTAAATCTAACCAAAGGGGGGTGTTTCTGCTTGGAATTACTAGTTGCTCACTCACTTGCTTGGCCAACAATCTAAAATGAGCAAATCCAAAATACACACAGCTAATGTGAAATCAAGTATAAACACATCGCTTCTCCGCTTCTCCAGAATGGTTCCTCCAAAGCACCTCGAGGGGAAATGTCTGGCGAGACCACAAGGGCCAATGTTCCATGCAAGCAGAATTTTGGCTTGTCAGCCGTATCACCAGCTCCAACCAACCGTCAGCTGAAACGATGACTCCTTTATGGACGGAGTCAAGTCTCCTCTTCCGGTGCCTAAAATAGCCTTTCTTTGTGCTTGTGCCAAAACAAGTTGGTTCTGTTCACGCTCCAGCTGGCAACCTCCAAGCTGCTTCTTCAGCGATCAACCAGGCAAAACAGCTTGGAGTGGCGAACGAGAGGCACCCTCATGCGCAGCACGGGGCAGAAACACAGACAAAGAGATGCAGTGGAAGTTGGGACTCCTTAGCTCATGTGGCTGTGGGTCAAAACCAATGGTACGGGTAGGTGCACCACCCAGTTTAGTCTATTTTAGTGGGGATTGGGATATTCACTGGGGGTATGGGCTTTTGACCCATGGCCATGTGGCGATTCTACCCCTGGCTCCACCACATGGCCAAACAACTCGAAGCCACGCCTGGTGATGCCACCAAGCCCCACCAAGCCAACCCGCAGCTCCGGGGGGCTGCAGTAGAAGAGGTGAAAGCCACCCAGGATCGGCGCCTGTGACTTTTATGTAAGGGTGCCCATGGCTGCTTCTGTTCAAATCCTCTGATGTCTGCGAAAAAGGGTGCTGTGTTTGCGTATACGAAACAAGATTGCTACCGCATTTGATCACAAGTTCAGAGTGTTGTTTCCTGGGATCAAATTTGCTCTCAGAGAGAGAGGGCGAGAGAGGGCGAGAGACAGAGACAGAGACAGAGAAAAAACTTCCACCACAGTAGACGGATGTTGAGTTCGATGCGATCCATGCTGGTCAAACCCGTAGAAGTCATTGTATCCAGCATGAAGGCTGAAGCAGAGGAATCTGTGTCCCTGCATGTCTGTTTGTGCCTGTTCTCCGCAGGAAGCATGTCATGAGTGTTGAAGCCTGGCCTGAGTTAATTAACTGGCTGATCGGAGATACTTTTAACCTTGCATCACTTGACGAAGCACGATGGAAAGGGCTTCCTGCGAATTTCTGGAAAGGGCTTCCTGCGAATTTCTGGCAGCCTCAAGTGGATTACATACAGGACTGCGTTCCAAAAGACATAGACTTTTCACTAGCTCCAGAAATTCCTACAATGATATAGGCAGCCTGGTCACGACGTGTAACGCAAACACGAACATCCTTCGGAACAAATGTATGCCAGTGCGAGATACACCTGTTAAAAATCACCTCTATATCTGCCTGTGCCGTCCAAAGCGGCCAAAATTGAGTCAGTTGCAAGGCTAGCGAAGGCTGGAATGGCAGGCTGAGACTTGGGAAAAATCAGCGCCGAAACGGGACCGTTCCCCAGTGGCAGCCTCACAATTCTCAGATGCCAAGATTGCAGAAGGAAAAGGAACCAAAGCTTTGAGAGACCTGAAAGCATTGCCAGCTTTCATGAAGGTGTCTCACTATGCCGGACCCTACGCCTGATCAACGACCCCAGCCAATGCAGAAAGAAGTCCTGTTCCAAAACGACGACGGTCTGTCTGTTTGATTCCGAGAGGAAGAAGCGGTGCCGGAGGGTCATCTCTGCGCTGGTCGATTTTCTCACCAGGGTAACTTCGGTAAACTGCTGTGAAGCCTTTTCCCGGAGGCTTGGATACCCAAACGTGCAATGCTCACACGTCGACTCAAGCACGGCAGTAAGGCGCCTGGTCCATTAGAGGTCTGAAGATGATGCACCCCACGCCTCAGTTGCGGAACCGAGCCCACGATCTGCCCTTTCATGAAGGATGACAAAGATGCCCAAAGATAGATTCCAGGCTCTGAATGGACGGCAGACTTTCAGCTTCCGGAGAATCTCTTCAACCTTCTGCTTCCAGGCGACCCTCCAGCTTAATGCGGTTGATGCCGAACTTCAAAGGCCCGAGCGTCAGCTGCATGTCCACCTAGGCGCCGGGTTCCTCAATTTGCACGATAGAATGGGTGGGGGGCCTTTGTTTTTTCATGAACCAGCCCAAAAGAGGCATCCCAAACTTGAATTGAAGCACGGTGTTTCCACAAAAAAAGGCGCAAGCGGCTGTTGCCCTTCTCTACCCCTGGCATGAGATCAATTGATACGGTCTCTTGAACGAGTCACTGACAAGGTTGACAACCTGTTGGAACCCATCAGGAAGAAGCAGGCAGGCACTCCCAAAGAAACATCGATCGAAGCAGTGCGATTCGGCGCAGTCTCACGGCCGGCTGCGCTCAGCCATGAAGCACGTGCATGTACGATGTTGAAATCGGATGACATTGATTCGAATTCTGCCGCCGTGCCACGGGAGCGTCCCAACGCATCTTGCCACAGAGCTCGATGCCATCCTTCACACACCTGGGCATCGTAGCGGTGAATATATCTAGGGTCTGGCCTCTGGATCAGCAAAGCTGATAACAAGCAAACACGGAAAACGTAAGCTTAAAAAAGCCACCGTGCACCATTAGTCGCGTGGAAAGTTCTCAGCCTTCGGTGACTGCAACGAACGCTGCAGAATCGCAAAGGGGAAAGAAACAACAAATCGTGCAGCGTCTGCCTCCCAAATCTCCGCCCAAGCAACGCCAATCTCGAAACTTTGTGCAAATATCCGGACTCCACGCATGTGTAACCTAGAACCATCTGACGCAATCCGCAGTCGGATCGCAGTTGGAATCGGAATGAATGCAGTCCCTTGCAGGCACTGCAGCGTTGCCAACGTTAGTCCCTTTTATTATTGGCAGTGCAAGAGTTGGGTTGAAGTGACAAAGACTGAACAGGACTAGGAACCACCAAAGTATCAATACATTCACTGGGGGTACAGCTGAGGAAGCTTTCGCCACATGCTGATATGGAGAAGTAAAGCTTCGGCATTCCCCGCGTGCAAACCGTTCGGGGTATTGTGGGCAGTGGGCCTTCATCAGGGGGTGCCATAGGCGACAGTCCGTATTACCTGAGCAAAGGCTCAAAGTGGTAACGCCCGACTGTTGAACAATGTGTTTGGTCGTGGCCCAACTGCGAGAGCACAGGACAACATGTGGACTACTAATCAGGTCATGCGCTTGCTGCGATCAGGTTAACTCCCTTAGTTTCACACACAAACAAACAAACAAAACACATACGCACACGCACTGTCAAGAGGAAAGTCCTCGAAACCGCCATGTCATGCGCTCTAAAACGAGTGTCACGGTGTTTTCCGGGACTTGGACCTGGGCCGCAGACTGATCAGCATGTCCAAGCCTTTCCCAGGGACAAGCAAGAATTACTCCTGATTGAATTGATGACATTCACCGCGTCGCAATCTTGAGTGCTTGTTATAGCGTTTCCGAATGAAACTGTGAGGGACCGTCCGACACCCGGAGAACGGACCCTTGCCTACAGTTGCCTTTCACAGGCCAACGCGCTGGACGGACCTTTGCTCCGCTCTGACTCAACCTGCATGATGCTTGAAGCAGATTCTTCCGAGCCGCGGATGCTGACGCCAACTGTAGACCTCCTCAATGCTGGGAGCAGAATCCTGAGGGCCGGTCCCCATTCCTCTTTACCACCTGGTCTGTTCACATGCCCAGAACCCGGTGGGATGCACAAGCTATCAACTCAGGTTAGCTGCTAGCAAAGCTGCCCGCATGCTCACATGGGTACGCTTTGAGCAATTGGAAGCACAACTTGCGAGAGAATTGTTCCACTCACTGATCTGGTAGACTGGTGGAAATGATCAGATCCATACCGACAACTGGCAGTGCCAGGTGGCTGACTTCGGAAGGCAGATTTTCCGCCAGCGCAGTTCAGCCCCGCTCGCAGCGAACGAATCATGGCAACCAGCGCAAGTTGAGTGCCGGACGCCAAAGCTGATTTTGTGGTGCACCTCGCCTGGCATTCGCGCTTTTGGGCTGCACAAAAGGTGTGGTGAGGCGAAACTCGCCAGATTGGTTCCACTTTACAACTTCCAGATTCCCTGTCCAGAAGGGTTTCGACTAGGACTGCCCCTGACATCTAAGCATCAAGATAGCTTGTCGAAAAACAAACATTTGCCATCCTATGATCAAGAGAATCCAGTTTCTGTCTGTCGACCAAGCCGAAGTTGTCCAAGTATCTACTTCAGAATTTCCCCAAGCTGCACTGTGCGTCGCGCAAGCACGCAAAACAAACGGACATGCTGACAATTGTTGTTTGTTCCCCACCTGAAACATGGCACCAAGGATAATGGCAAGGACACTCGATTCTGTAGGTTCAGTGTTACAGTAGAGCGCATGCTCCTGGTGTCATCTGTTTCACTCTGGTGCAAGTACGACTTGACATGCTCAGAAGCCGCTCAATGCTTCCAGAACGACCTGCTGCTAGCGGCTTGGGCCGCTGGCTGCTTGGAATTGCATGGTGCTCTTGACTCCTATGGTGTCAGGATGCTCGAAGCATCAGTCACTCCATCTGGGCCGCGGGAAAGGAAGTCCCTACAGAAAACACATTTCGACATGTCTGAGGTGAAAACAACAAGTGCAAGTTGAAGTGTTCAAACGTTGGCATCTGAGCAATTGGCCAAATTTGGAAGCAACACCAAGCGGCAAACTCATGGCACTCCCGTCACTTCCCAACCAAAGATACCTCCGCCATGGGGCATACGGGGGGTGTCCTTTTCGAGTGTACCGTTTTTAGGGGTGGTTTTTGGGCCCCCGATATTAAGACACACCCATGTGGCTTTGGGGAGTCGTTTCAAGCGACGTCGCGCAGATCTGTCGATCAAAATGCCCGGGGTCGCGCCTCGCATGGACTCCGGCAGCTTCTGGATGGCGGCATGCAGGGCCTCCTGCACCCGCTCGTCCATGAGCTTCTTCATGGTGCCTCGATGGGGTTCCAACAAACCGGTCTTTGGCCTCTTCTTTTTTTGGCCCAAGAACCGGTTGGGGGTCAAGAAGGCAGGGTCCGCCTTGTGACTGGATGAGCATTTCAAGGAGACACACCGGCACGGTCGCAAAGAAATAAGTTTGGTGATCTGAGGGAAGGCTGCATAGTCCTCAGATCCTGGCCAGCTGCAGATCTGGCAAAATGTCAAATCTCAGTCAACACCAGCACAAACAAAAAGAAATCGATGTCGCACCAAACAAGCCGTACTAAGAAGTATGCGCCAGTCGCTCTTTCAGCAACTTGCTGGGCAAGGCCAGTCTTTGCATCTGCCGACCAGCCATGTCACAGGTCTGAATGGAACCTTGCACCTACCTTCAGCCAGCGGATCAGCTTCAAGGAATCTCCAACCCCTTCCTCTGGAGCTGTCCGACAGATAAGCATGCGCAAGCTGGCTCGGTGACTCAGAGGCGACCCCATGCCCACAACCTCAAGTTGCTTGAAGAGCCATCAGTCGAAAAGAGCTCTCAAATCACAGGCTTTGAGCCACAGGCAAAACCCTGAAGGCTCCAAAGAGGTTACTTTGCGAGTTGGTCGAAGCATTCCGACCAGCTTTCGCAGGAAAAAAATCCTACACCCAAGCATATCCTCCTGTAGCAGCAAGTTTGAGAAGAGTGAAGCAAAATCTGCCAAATACACCCCTGTGCATCGCAGATCGATTGTTCTTGAAAGCCATGCAAGAGCGTTTACTTTGCATTCTGCTGACCATCCAAAGCGCGCAAAGGGATCCGCTCAGGCTTTGGAAAACAACAACCAGCGAATGGGCACCCAGCTAGATCTTCGGGATCCCAATGCACGCTCCTTCTTCCACCTCAAAAGGGTGGGAATGTACAGGTGGTGCTACACATTCAGACTTGGCCATGAAAGGATGAAGCCCGTATATTTTCATGGGTCTTTCTCTGACCACGGCTTCGACCAAAAAAACTATGTCCACATATATTACTCTCTGCCAAAGAAATGTCTCGATAATGCAAGTAAAACTCGCCTGAAAGTTACCACTGCTGCAAGGACCTGCGGACTCCATCGTCGGCTCTGAATATGTTCCATGCTTTAAATGCCCGTAACAATTGCCACATCCAGAAAGCCGAGATCAAAACTTCCTCCCGCCCGCCGTGGCGCCTGAAAGCTCGGGCCAAACCATCCGGCAGAAGTCCGTGAGGAATCGGCTCACGGCCGGCTCCTTCCGGTGGCCTGAGGTGGAAACAGCCAAGTGCCTCAGCGAACTGAGTCGCCATAGGCTATTTACGCGTGTACGATATAGTATTATGCATACATGTGCCGATCCCACACATGAACAAGGGCCGGAGACACTCAAAACCCAGCCAACCAACGCTTTGGTCGAAAACTGATTGGGTCGCACAACTCTGCTCGCTTCAAAGAGGAGAACCCATTGCCACAATTGCAATTCGTCTATCCCACATACACACACACTCACACACGCGCACATATTTGTCGAGCTTCGCAACACCATTGTTGGGAGCACAACCTGGCTACAAAGTTCCATATCTTGAATTGCAGCGCAAGGGCCACGGCAGAAAGGCATCCTATCAAGGGGATTATTGGGGTAGCCTGAGAAGTTCCAACATCTCAGTTTTCTTCCAATCAAATGCTCCCTGGTTCTTTTCCGCCCTCACTGCCCGCTGACCGCCTCTTGTGGCACTGGCGCCGAAGGGATCTATGTCCAGGCGTCTCGGGAAGGTGACAGTGCGTATAAGATCCTGCCGCCATGTGTCTGCCACAGTCAGGCGGGGACGAGTCAAGAAGATACGCAAATAGTGCTAAATAGTTGTTTGCCCAATATCAAGCTAAGACCGCCAACACACCGCAGGTGGAGTGAAAGGCAAACGGCATGTTTTGAGAACGCCTCCCAAACAAAGCGCCGCCAAAGCATCAAAGCAAGCAACCTGAAGGGCATCCTCCGTGGAAAGGCTTCACAGCCCTGTGACTCATTACCCACCGGCCAAGTCTTGGCTACATCCCTGTTCCCGGTGCCCACTGCCCCAGCCTCATCTTCATCGACGGCCACCTCCACCTTTAAATCCAGCCCCAGCCATGCAGGACCCACAGCCCAATGTCTGTAGCATCGGCGAACAAAAAGTCAAATTGTATGAAGGTAACTTCTAGTGTGGCATCCCTTGATGCCTGAATCCAGAATCCATGAGGAATGATGAGCTCACCTCACCGAAAGCACTATGACATGCCCAACACACATGGGATGAATGTAATGCTAGCTTGCAAGGCAATGCCCGGGATTTGACCCCGAATGAGCTACACGACCCATTTAAAGCAAAGTTCTGACAAACATGCAGCCGCAGACTCTGTGGAGAATGAATTGCCTCACTAACGCCTGTCCAGGCTGAGAAGGCAATCTAAATCTGGGCATGACGCAAAGGTCTTACACTGCCCTGCCCGTTCCAGAAGGGTCTGTGCACAACTGAACGCCTGCCAGATTTATCATTGCTTCCGACATCCCCGCCCCAAACCCTGCTTCATCCCCCTGCCCTGCCTCGCTCCGAGGGCTCACGTTCGCCTTGGCGTGATGCAGCGGGACGAGACGGTGGCTCGGTGGCTCAGTTACTGGCTAGCTGGCAAAAACAAGGGATCCGTATAAGTGGCCGGCGAGTTGTGATTCCCGGTATCTCCCAATAGGAAGCGCATTTTGCCGAGATCCCAGAGTCGTGAGACGAACGCGGCGGCTCAAAACCACGACACGATTCGTCCCAGGGACCGAGTCCGTGCCCAGGCCGTAATCGTACCAGGCATTGGCCAAACCAAAGCCGCAGAGCGCGTTGAAGTCCCCTGCACGCTCACACGCTGAAGCGACCGTCCTGACCCTCTTGAAAGGCAACGGCTGCCGCTCCCAAAAAGGGCCCCGATATGTATCCCAAGGTGATGCTTGTGCTTGTGCAGTAGCCTCAACCGAACCAAAGCACCTCCGAACTCCAAAGGAGGCAAGAAAGGGTTGGAGGAACCAAGGTATACCTTGTGCGAATGACAAATGACTGAGAGGTTGAAATTTCACCCGTCTGTAACCTCTGCGTTTCCAACACATCCAAGCACCTCTCCAGAGATGGGAGCGCCCCAAATGGGTTCTAACAAGTGAGTTCCAGGATCTTACACACGTGCTTGTCTTTCGGTGCAAACTGGCACGCGTTTCGTAGAACCCGTTCGGGGTCCCGTGAGCGATCAAAACAAAGAGCGGCCTACTTTCAAGGCACAGCAAGGCTGCATCTTGCAGCTGGCAACGCCATTGCGGCGCTCCCAGAAATGGCAGCTAAAAAAGCATTTCAGCGAAGCTGAGCCTATGTGTGAGCTTGTGTCAACTGGAGTGTGTGCTTGTGTGGCTGTGTGTGGCTGTGCTGTGAGTGCAGTGTGTATGTGTGTTCTACTAGCTGTATGGTGCCATGATGCTTCTGACAGTGGCTCGCACCTCAGACCTGCCATTGACAACATCTGATGCATCCAGGCCATGGAGCCAGCTGTACGATCTCCGTTGCTCACCTCGACCTCATGGATACAGGGGAAGTGCTCCGAAGGAAGAAAAGTCACTCAGACATGCGCAACCCTGCCGAAGCAGCACCAAGCAAGCTGTTGTCAATGATTTCTGAAAAAGTCGCCAACATAGCCCATAAGCGATGCATTCTCAAGCCTTAACTGAGCCCCAAAAGCCACGCTAGAGTCTTGAAAGGAATACTGGCTGCTTAGTGTATGTCCTCACCACACGCCCTCGGAACCCTGCGAAATGCCTCAGCTGCACCAGCCGGGTGTTTGAGTTCAGTAGGGAAAGCGCCTCTTTTGGCGCTCCCCTCCGTGAGCGTATCACAGCAAGCGGCGTGTGGGCGAGAAGTAGAGGAAGATGGCAAGAAGAACCAGCACAAACTGGAAGATGAGGTAGCCTGGACTCGCAAACCCATGCCATGCTGAGCCGCGCTCAACTGCACATCTCAGGCTTGCACAGTGCGCCCTCAGATGAAAGAACCTTTACAGCAAAATGCTGTAGCGTGATTGCTGGGCAACTGAGGGTGAGTCATATCCGCTGTGGCCAATGCTTTACAGCACCAAGGAACCTCAAGGACCCACCAATTTCTTCAACATGGGTGAGGTCTGCGCAGATTGCGGCTCTGAAATAGCAAGAACGCCCTCTCATGCCCAACACCTGCCAGCATGAGAGCTGAAAAGTACCTCAGTACTCTCAACCACAGAGGGTTGGCTTTCTCTACAAAGGGTGCAAGTAAAAACCTGCAAACTGTTTACTGGCCAGCGGAAAGGTGAACCAAGATTGCGCAGCAACACCTGGCTGTTGCCTTCAGAAGCAAATGGAATGACGCAGCATCCTGTGGTGACTCGGCTTCTTGTGGACAAGCATATCTACGTTTGCTAGCTGCGAGTGATCAGCAGCTATGAGCAAATGAACAGAACGGTTCTCCACTTCCCGACAGTTGTTTGGTGTCTAATCAAAGATTCAAGTCGAAAATTAAGCACGACAGCTTGTCGCGGATGAAGATGTACGTCGAATATCGGGACCAATTTACGCCCTCAAAACAAGGCTGATGAGTACACGCCCGAGTAAAACCATGGCTTGTTGGAACTTCCATCGCCGCCCTGCCCAGCCAAAGGCCCCTGCAAGTCCCTCGCCTATCAGGTACTTCTTCATCGCCTTCTGCGCCGAGTCCACCAAGGCGGCGGGGGACTGAGCACGCTTCAGTCCAAGTTCGCACCGCGAATGACACGGAGGGAATCGTCGCAAGGGCAGATGCTGAGACGCTGCTCAGATTTGGGTATGGGTCAAAATTAAACCACCAGGGGACCACAGGTTTTAGTCCATGTTTCCATTGACCAGGGTGCCATTTTGGGTAACTATTTTTGACCCATACCCAGATTTCACACTGCCCCCCCCCGGCTGATGCCGCCTCCGTGGGATCGAGGCTCGAGGGCTCCAGGAAGAGCGGCGCCGCCGCCTGGATGCCGTAGGCCGCCTCCGCCTCTCCGGTTCACGTGAGACACGAAGCAAAGCCGCCGAAGCAAACGACGCCAACGACGCCGACGAAGAGCCGAAAGGCGAAAGGCGCCACGAGGCTTCGAGACTTCCTTTTTGGGAGGGCGTACAGGGAACGGGGGTTGGAGCTGTCACCGCGAACGGGCAGCTGGGGAAGGGCAACGAGCAGCCTGGAATGCATGTTTGCAGATTTAAGCTTGGTAGCGACAGTGCTGTTTCAACGGGTATTGTTGGCAGGCCCACTTTGGCAAAGTTGCCTTGTTACTTCTGCGTGGTGTCTTTTTAAGTTCTTCCAGTTTAAGCTCTTCAAAAGTGCACACAGCCATGTGTCTTCGCAAGCTTGTAGCGGGACTCCCATCCCCTTGCTTCTGGGCATAGTCCCACAACGAAACCAGGAAGGAGGGCAAGGAAGGAGGTTACCAACTACATCCCCCGGAAGCAGCACGACAGCCATATGTCTGCATCGTTTGACCCCTCTCCCCGTTGACTCAATCCCAGCCTGGCGCACGGCGAGCTTGTAGAACGCCGAGTCAGCCTGGTTCATCAGCCTGGCATCTGCCATTCGAGCCTACTCGGCGAATATGTTGACCCATGCACCCAGGCAAGCAGAGGATGCAGACGACAAGGCCCAGTGAAGGACACACCGGGTTGACCAGTGAGGTGCACTACTTGTTCAAATACTCAAAAGGGGTTTCTGTGCCTCAACTGCAGGTAACAAAACGGTGCAACATGCGAAAGGTGAGAGCCCCACCTCCTAGCAGCCAGGCCCTTGGGATGCTCATGGCGCGTGGAGCCGCAACTGAAGCCTGGGCGGCTGGCCTGGAACGGCTGACGCGCGTGAAGCAAAACACATCGACTCTGTTGAGCGGCCAACGGCTCCGATACATGTGGACAACAGGTTGTCAAAAGCTAAGATATGTTGTCTATATCGGCAGATATCTGAAAATTATGTATGTTAACGATAATGCAAGAATGGATTGTGAGACCCACTGTGTCTGCACAACATGGTCAAGACGTACATGGTATGCACCAACGTCTCCCAGGCGTACTCAAAACAGGATTACAGCACAAATTCGCGCCCATGAACTATGCATGCTGTATGTTATGATAATATTTGCTATATCACATGGTATATGGTATACGGTGAATGATGTACTAGATATATATATATATATAATGCGCAACATAGGATATCTGATGTATGGCAGGTGATGCATAAGTATAATCAGCTTCTGACACCAATTTCTCTGGGCAGATTGACAAAAGTATGTTCACGCTTTCTCCGGGTAGTTGGGTGGTGGGTCTGCAACCGTGCAACTGGCCGCTCAACCAGAACGCTATGCTGGAGATCGTCGGACACCTCCATCATGTGGCTGCAGTCATAGCTACATGATAAAGTTTGACTAAAGATAGTGTCTTCAAATAGATGTTCTTCTGGTACTGAAACACAAAGAAATATGACGCTACATGACCTGTGTGCTTCTGTGGATATGCGTCTACGTGGTGACGAACATCACTATTCTCCTCAATGTTCTGGGCATCATACAGACCAGTGGAGCCATGGAGCAGCGTCACATTTCAGCTGTCAAAGTGCAGATCGCACAAATCCCCCACTGTGTTTCACTTGCAAAAGTCGCTGCTCTTTGCCTCCAATCTCTCCTCCCGAACTCTGCTCTTGTCTTTGCCTCGAACACCTCGGATCTGGGCATGGGGGGCGTTTGTTCATCCGAACATCCACGAGATCTGCAACGTCCCAATTTGTTGCGCGTTCCCCCGAGTTTTCGTCCGTCCGATCCCGATTGTCGCCTGGCAGCAGTCCTTGCCCACCAGCCAGAAGTCGTAGGTCACCGGCGGCCAAACTCCCAGCTGCAGCGGCGCCACGCAGTAAAGCCTAGCGATTCAACCGACGGATGTGGTGCCGTGCGTCTTTCCTGCGAATCGGAGCCCGTCCTTTTGGCGTTCCTTTTGAAGAAGACCCACAAAAGCAGGGTATCCTCAAAACAGACACACCCAAATAAACCTGAGAACTTTGGAACGGGCCTGGGATTTCCACAACGAAGTCTCCTGTGTCTGCGTAGGAACAGGCACTGAATGTTCCGTTCATGCCAAGAAATCTGCTATCAATGAAAAGGCAAGTGGTGTCCACAAATGTTAGCCAAAAGGACCCGGATGCAGCTTTGGAAGCTTTAGACCAACAAAGCCAACCAAAGGAAACAAAATTGGTCCAAAAGGGTTTGGAAACTGTGAAAGGAAGTTGACAGCTGCAATTTCCACCAATGGGTGGTCGATCCGGTTGCTAGCCGAGGTTCCGCAAATAAGAGCCTGTATTGGGCTGTATCCCCAACAAGCAAAGGCGCCAAAGTTGATTCTTCTTAAGAGCCCTTCGGAAGTGTTCCTTCTTTGGCAAAACTGATACACTAAGCATGGCACTGATCGTCTTTGTAGCCCATCGAGATGTTGGTCTGCAGGTGGGTACCTCCAAGAGTAACACCGCGCGCACTCTGCACAGGCTGATCATTCAATGCCAAAACCCACGTAGCTGACCTGTCTGGCAGAAGCATGTAGGCAGGTAGCCAGGAACCTTAGCTTACGTTTCCAATCGGGCCTGTTGTTCTTAGTCCACATGAGAGCATGGGTGGCTGTCATACTGTGCGAAGCGTTCCCGCAATGGAAAAAAGCTTAGCAAAGAAGTCAGGAGTGTTCGGGAACCGCGGAAGCAGCGCAAAACTTTTTTGGCCTGACTTTCACTGAGCAGCCGTAGTAGAAGTGGCTAATCCCATACCCCGCTGGTTGATCAACAGTCGCCGAACACTCGAAAGCTTGTTTGCATTCTGAATTGTCAGTTTCTAGAGGTGCAGAATACATTTGTGCTCTTCTCCACCCGTTTAGTCTTCCTTTATTGTTTGCGGGGCTTTATGAAGGGAAACATGCTGTAGCTTACAGTGTGATCCGAGGCATTTTCGGCAAGTGGAACAAAAAGCTCGTCAAAAAAAGAGTCAGTAACAGCCACACCCCCAGCATCACCAGCAACACAGATTTCCGGTGTGCCAAATACCAAAGCATCCAATAGGCCGTGAGTGCAGCTGGCCCGAGGCACTGCTCTTGTGCACTCATGGAACTGCCGACATCCCTCGAAGGCAGCAAACACGTCCTCTGTGACCCTTGCCTATTTCCCAAAACTAGAGCCAGTGCAAAAGCTCAAAAGCTAGAACCACTCCACACAAACGAGTTGAACTTGGCCACAAGAAAAATCGGCAAGCAACTACCCCCGAGCCCTGCAGAAAAACCATCTGGCATCCGCCTGGCAGGAAGTCAATAAAGCCGGCGTCCATGAGCTGCGTGCCCCTGGCATCGGATCTGAAGGGTCGAGAAAGGATCACGCTAGGGGAGAGGATCATTGTAAGTGAGGGATGTTTCTTGGCTGCCCATTCCTGCCAGTGGGGTCCAAACGATATGTCGCAAACTCTCCTGGAAGCCTCAAGACCACTAAATCCTGCAAACGTTTGGCTAGGAATTCTTTCTCATAGGAATCTGGGAAAGCTGCCAAAGAACATTAACTCCGCCCAGCGAAAAGGTCTCCCAGCACCTAGAAAGACTGGACATGGGCTTCCTCACTATTACATCTCCTTTCCGCTCGTCCTGCCAAGGCGAGTCTTGGCTTCCACTGATCAAGCTGAGCCAGCTCTTAGGCGACACTGTTAAGAAAAAGAAATCACACCAACAATAACAAGAAAAACAAATGTGGTCTGCGTGACTACCACTTTCAAGCTGCTAGTCGCTGGGCCGATGTCGAACTCTGGCAACCAGACAAAAAATAGATCAGACCATGGCCAGCCAATGAGCAGCCGAAGCCAACAAGTCAGTGGCTTGGGACTGTCGCCACACTCAGGGCCTTGAGGTTGCAGCTCTTTTCTTATAAATCAAAAGGCATTGCAGCAAAGTTCTTTCAGCGTGCCACCCATCACGCATCGGACATTGCGCCCCCCAAGGAATGTCCGGCAACCCCACACCGAATCACCAGCCGCATGCCCTGGCCTGGAGACGTCCGGATCCACACCTGGCTCGAAGATGAGAAGCATGGAAACACCCAAGACTTCAGACGAGAAATCACATGCATGGCCAAACTGGTACTCATCTTCCCGGATGTTCCCAAAAAAGGTTGCGCCTGCTTGCCTGCGTGTTGCTTGCAGGTTTGCTTGCATGCGCACTTGCTTAAGGAGCAAGACCAACACTTCGGGAACTTCATCATACTCCAAGTACTGCAAACTCGAGTCAACTCAAGCAGAATTTCAAGGCAGCGTAGGGCATGTTCTTTTAGCCATGAACATTGAGAAGCTTGGCTGCAGAACATATAGACCAGGCTTGAAATTGCGGGTCTACCAGGTGCTGACTACTCTTGAGGTTGAGTTTGTCCTCAGAATCAAGTCAGGTTCGACTGAAATGGCATGCAGGACTAGATGCAACTAGAAACCGAATCCTCCCACTTGATCAATCACTACACCACTCATGGCGTCCGCCCTGCAAGCAACTCTCCGGGGCCTCTGTAGATATTGAGGCGTGTCATCCTGAGGCTATGCGACAACCAGAGGAATCCCCGGCCTACCTGGCCACGCCAGTTCGACTTGATGCTTTGAGTTGCTGGTTCGGAAGCTAGGGTGTAGTTTCCCGTTGCATTCAAGAAAACAAGCATAAACCCGCACACAGCCAACTCAAATCACAAGTAAGCTAGGCAGACAGCTGAGGAGTCCGGTCAAATAAAACAGATACGCTGGCAAATGGATCATGGGTCACACTGACTGAAAAACTCCTTCAGAGCTTGTCCTGTATGACTTCTGCAGGGAAAAAAAAGAACAAGTGCTCGGCATGACCTCCAGTTGAGGAACACTGGTGGCATCTAACTTCAAACCCAGTTGTTGGTCCAGAAAGCCAGCACGGTAAGCCTGTCTCGATTGATTTCGCAGGAAAAAGCGTGCTGGAATAGGTGCAAAACAAATCGGCGTTTGCGTCTGGGGCGGTGCATTGTGAGCGAACTTACAATTTATTGGATTTGAAGGTTCCTTGCAAGTTCTCTCACACCGAAGCTCAAGTTGGCCAATGCAGCATCGTGAGAATTCCAGCCGGTAGAACTGCCACAAACTGCCACCGCGGCGCTCAAACCACTTGAAGGTGTACCTCAGGTTCCGGCAACATTGCCTCTATGAACACATACGCGCGCATGATCATGTGGGGAGGATTGCAAGTTGGAAATCGCATAATTGCACAAGCTGCTGCTCGGTCAAATGTTGTGCTTCAGGATGCCCCTTTCAACATGGAGGACTTCCATGTTGACTAACACACATGTGCTCAATCTGGAACAGCTGAGGGGACACTCCTGTGCTGAGGGGACACACCACAATATGCCACCATTGCGCTAGCAATTGGATGCTTGAAAATAAGGACATGTCGGCAAGTGTCTGCACGCATGCACAGCTTCTGAAAGCAACAGTATGATGCTAAGACATTGATCGTCAGTTTCAAGAAACGGCTGCGAAAGCAATTCGAACTCTTCCACAAAGACAGATGAGGGAAAAGAGAGAGAGAGAGAGAGAGAGAGAGAAGAGAGAGAGAGAGAGAGAGAGAGAGAGAGAGAGAGAGAGAGATCTGACAGGAGGGCAGCCAGGTCAAAAGGCCTGGCACCTTCTCACTGAAAACGCCTCAGGTTGCGTGCAGGTTGCCAAATTGCACCCAAGTGGGTGCATGTCAAAAAAGGGGCCCCCAAATCAATGGCATTCATTCTGGCTTCCCTTTCAACCAAGCCCACATAGGGTCCCTCAAAAACAGACACCCCAACTCCATGATCCAAGGTGCGCGTCGTAGCTGACGGAGCCCAGCCCCAGGCCTGCCACAAAGGCCAAGAGGAAGGCGAAGGCAAAGAAGCCCAGCATGGATCTAGGAGGCACAGAGTCATGGAGCGACGCCGTCCAAACATCTGGACCTTTTTTGGTGCTTCGGGAAGCAGCAATCCAATGGTGGCTGCCGAAATCGTGTAAAGGCCCAACGTCTCTTGAAGCTCCTCCGTCTCCTCCTTTTGATGATTTTCGAAAACCCACCAGAAGGGGGTTCTTCCCCCCGGAGCTTCCGGGTTGGTCCGGCAGATATGCAAAAGAGAGCCTCTTGTTAATTTGCGTTCAAGCACGACAGTCACCAAAGAACCAAAGGACGTGCAAAGACCGTTTTGGCTGGCGCAAGTTCACAGGAATGTCGACAGAAGGGGCACATTTCTCTCGTTGCAAACCATCCCTCGCAGAGTCTGTTAACGTCTCTCCACCTTCCCCCCTTCTCCACGTGCTCCAAGCTGCGGCTCTGCATTTGGCGGGGCTTTTGCCACGAGGTCCAGCCAGGCGAAAAAGAAGCCTAAAGCCAAGATCCGACGCGAAGAAGCTCGCAGTCGAATGGTGCCCCAAAAAATCAGTTCGACAACCACAAATAGAAGCGTTGAGTGGCGCAAAGAATTAGCCGAGCTGGATGTTGCCTTCTGGATTCTCCCTGCTGAACCCGCTAAGCGACTCAACTGCGAATTCAGCACCTTCATGCGATATGTACGAGCGATCCATACATATATGTTGTATGTTGCATGTGCAAGTACCGAAGCGTTCCACTGAAAGTCCCTTGCGGTGGCATTACTCCACGATCATCTCACCTGATTACACCTTTGGACTTGATCAACCTGATTGCCATGTTCTTTGAATCGTTTAAACAATGCGGCCTGTCCGTTTTATGAGAGGATGTTTAGAAGGAACTTCCGTTGTACTGACGCTGGGTGAAGGTCACTGTCGCACAAAGTAGATGATAGCGAAAGGAGAAGAAAAGAGAAAAGAAGACAGCAAAAAAGAGCGGCCAAGAGAAAAGGTGACAAATGTTTAGACTGTGTGACAGGTGCAGCACTTTGGGATAGAAAGTTCTCAAAAGAGAGCGCCCTTCTTAAGTTTCGCTTGCTTCGGGGAATTACAAACCACCTCTGGCGCGACGCCTTGTTTTTGCGGGTTCGGATTGGGTTCGCGAGTCGGCGCTGGGCCCATTGGCACAGACGCGCACACGTCTCGCAGACATGAGTTTTCGTCACAGGCGCAGCACTTTCGCAGAATCCGGCACCGATTGCATGGGAGGCGCCACACTTTCGCAATGCTACAACGCACTGTTCGCAAATCCCAATGGCTGGGACGCGTAAACAGGCACGTGCCGATATCGTGCCGGACGCAAAACTTTCGCAAGGTTGGGTACATAATCCGTGGAAGGCGCGACACTTTCGCAAGGTCCAAATCAAGTACAGATTTCGTGCCAGGCGCAGCGCTTTCGCAAGGAAACTAGATAGAATGAAAGATAGATAGATAGATAGATAGATAGCTAGATAGATAGATAGCTAGCTAGATAGATAGATAGAGAGCTAGATGGTTAGATAGATGGATAGGTAGACAGATACACAGATAATGAGATAAGATAGATACACAAATGTGTTTATAGTTAGAGAGCTACATTGGTAGGTAGATAGATGAGCAGATGGATAGATAGGCTAAATACATATATATATATATATACACATATATATATATAGATTGATTAATTGAGAGCTTAGATAGACAGCTAGATTGATACATAGATAAATACAGCGAAAGATACTTAGATAGAAGGTAGACAGACAGATAGTTAGATAGATGGATGGATAGCTATAGAGATAGAGAAAGAGACATCTAAATAGCTAGGAAGGTAGACAAATAGAGATGTGACAAGTGAGAAAATACGACAACAATCGACAAGATGCGCGCGAGAGAGAAAGAAAGAAAGAAAGAAAGAAAGAAAGAAAGAAAGAAAGAAAGAAAGAAAGAAAGAAAGAAAGAAGGCAAGAAGGCAAGAAAGAAAGAAAGAAAGAAAGAAAAGAAAAGAAAAGAAAATAAAAGAAAATAAAAGAATAAAGACAGAAAGAAAGAAAAAAAGAAAGAAAGAAAGAAAGAAAGATAGAAATAAAGAAACAAAGAAAAGAAAGAATCAAAGAAAGAACAAAAGAAAGAAAGATAGACAGAAAGACAGAAAGACAGAAATAAAGAAGAAATGAAAAGAAAATAAAACAAAGAAAATGAAAAGAAATGAAATGAAAAGAAATGAAATGAAAAGAAATGAAATGAAACGCAAAGAAAAGGAATGGAGTAACGAAAGAAAGAGAGAAAGAAAGAAAGAAAGATGACAAAGAGCACGAAAAAGAAAGAAGAAATGAAAGAGAAAGAGAGCTACAGCGTTTCGGCTTCACTGGCTCTACTGTTATACTTAGCTTGATTTCCCCTTGAGAGCTGTGCATTTCAGAGGACCTGTCTCTCTCTCTCCCCCTGGATTTGTTCTTGCACGTTGTTTGGATACGAATGCGGGAATGATACAATGAGCCCCTCTTTTTAACCTCACACACGTCCGGCGGGATGAATGGTGTATTCAAATCAAACGCTGAGACCATTCTCTGAGCATGCGTTTCTTCCCCTTTGACGAAGCCTTCGCGCTTTGACAGCCCTGTCCCAGATCCCTGGGCCACCAGGCATAGAACCAGCACAGCGCCGACCGCCAGGGCCGCGTAAGTCTGCCAGGGGTTCGTTAAATGCGCTGAGGAGGCCAGGGAGATGTAGATCAGAGCCTCAAGTCGGAAGAAAATGAAGCAGGCACGGCAAAATGTCGAGCCAAGCGAGATGCAAGGTGAGGCTGTTCGGAAACATCACTTCCACTTGGATATGGCTTCTCTTTGGGAAGCCTTCAAGTGTGAGTGCTATGGAGAGCTGGGTCACTCAGGACTGTTTGGCTCGCGGAGCTTCATAGGTGACGCATGTTCTATGAGGCCAAATGGCTCAAAGTCTCCAGCCTGACCACCGCCCCTCAGAACACTCTTCAGGAACGGAGCCAAGGGACTTTCAGCCAATGTTACAGTTCCAGCCGACCCTCTCTAGTGACCACTGCCGTTGGGCCTCGTTTTTTGGGGCTCAGATCGCGCTGGCATCTCATCACAAAACCTCAAGATTAGCAATTATACGAAAATAGGGTTGATGCACATGTGCGATGATTTTTGCTCCAGACCGACAGGTTGCATTCAAAGATACTGTCAGCCAAACGGCAAGGATATCTCGACTTAAGATTGATTTCGAGAAATGCGGAGTCGGTTCGCCATTCAATCACAAAACGTGTTGTATTACTTCGGCTTCATAAATACGCATGTTTGTGTGTTTCGTTCATCGTCCCCTATCAGCAAGTAATCAGCCGAATCAGCCGCTCAGCGCTTCTGACATTGGAGGTGCCCCCACCGCAACGATGGGCCACCCAGCAAAAAAGGCCCAGGGCAGCAGCCACGCGGCGATCAGAGGCAGCAGCGAAGCCCTGCCACAAATGCCCAATCCAAACCGATCTAAGATGTTGGAAACTCGGTTTTGACGTTTCCGGGAATTGGTCTCAAAATGAACTGCGGAATCTTTGCCGTGCAATCAATGGCACGGCGAAAGTCCCTTCCTTACAGCTGAATGTCTTCATGTGCATGTGTGTGTGTGTGAGCTGTAATGTAGCATCTTGAGAGAAGCTTGTTAAGATCGTCCAAGCATGACATAATCATAGGGCTGTCCTGGCAGAGCGTGTCGTTTGTATCATCACCAGTCGACAACATTGAGTTCCTTCATCAGCACACACCGACACCTGGAATCTCTTAAATTGCAAACAGCTGCAAAACATTGAATCTGAGCGTGCTGCTTTCTTGCCTTGAAGCATTCAACTGCCAGAAGTGGTCAAACAAATGGTAAAAAAGGTTGAGAAATTCAAGCCCCGGGCAGGTCATGGTACTCGCTTATACCAGGTGCCATGACCGGCGTGTGCTGGCACATGGCAAGAATACATGTGCCAACTGATCAAATCATAACGGATCAATGATGATGCACGATGTTCTCGACTTTGCTAGATTCAACAACCAGACTTCGTGCGTTTGTAGCTTGACTTCTGCCGAACGGGCAGAAGTGACCCTCTTTCGAGCCGCATGCCCGCCTGAATTTGGGCCTGGCGCCTTTCAGCAGCTGCGGAACGGCGGCATAGCTGGCCCTAAGCTTCAGACTTGGATGGGGATCTGGACAATCGGCCCCAACGCAGCGCCAAACCCAATGTCAAGCCCAAAAACCACGCAACAGTGGCCAAAGTCCAGGAACCCAAACACACCTGCCCGCCAGAAGCAAGCTCCGAGCCCAAAACCCATCCTAGGCTGGCCTCAAGCAACTTTCAACTCGTCTCAAACCTGCACCAAGCTAAGACGTGCTGCTCATGCAGGCCCATTGTCACAGATCGGCACTAACCAACCAACCAAAGCCAGCCAGCCAGCCCGCCAGCCAAACCAACAAACAATCCGACCCTGTTTGCGCGTACCGAGAATGGGTTAAACCAACGGGTCGGGAAGCCTAGGCCCCCGGCACACGCTCTTCCTGAAGCGGCAGGTGCAACGGCAGCGGCATGGCTCTCGCGTGTCGAGGGAAATTATGATGTCCAACTTCTCTGCTTGCCTTCCCAAAAATGAAACACGCCATTCCCGGTGAAACACTAAGAGCCTTTTGACATCAGTGCGCTGTGCCCACGAAGGAGGTTCGGTACGCTGATCTTTGCTTTGAGCAAATTACGGTGGGCGGCGTGCATGCACTGTCAACACAGTCGCTAGAAAGTGAAGAAAGTGAACCGACATATGTTATGACTCTACAAGTGGTTTCATTTCCTGTGAAAGAGGAAGGGCTCTACAACAGCAGTGAGGGCAAATTGGTCTGCAGAGTGGATTGATTGTTCCACTACACTGGCTCATGTTCAGCAACCTGCCCAAACAGCATGTTTTGAGACACAGAACAGGCCTCATGGCCCCTCCTTAAGATTGTACTGCTTGCAGTGAGCAGTGCGTGCATGTACTGCCCCATAGTCTAGTAAAGTCTTGAGTTGCTTGAAGCTCTGCAGTCGCTAGAGTTGCTGCGCACGACGCCAAAATATCACGCCGGAGTATCTCCTTATCTGCCTAACTGGTGCCGCCCCCTCCTTCCTCGGTTTTTCCCCGCTACCGGCTTAGAAAACGCCTACTGTACATGCCCCCTGCCGCGCACAAGCCACCAATGACTTGCACAAGCTGCGGGACGCTTGTGCGGCACAAGCCATGCTAGCGTGCAGCCAATCGGCCAATCTGCAAGAGAGCGACCTCTTCGAGCGTGCGCTGGAGCGCCAAAGGTGCACCCCAGGTCGGCCAAGGGGTGCACCCGCTCGTCAAAAGACTTCAAGATACAAAATTCGAAACAAAAAGCCTGGTTCAAATGTGCCAGGGGATGCCCAAAGAGCCAGCGTGGGATTGGCTGGCCAGAACTCTCTCTGAAACCTGCTCGGCATGCAGCCGAGACATTTCACCACCGTTGCAGAATCGCTCCCACTTGGAACAAGCCCAATCATCTACAGGAAAGAAATGATAGTTCCCAACCTAAAGAAGCTCTGAAGATGCAGTGACTCGAAAAGCTATGTAAGGAAATTGTGCTCGTTTGCTTCCTCCAGCATGAAGCCTTGGGGAGGCAGGTAGACTTGGAAGGGTACCCCAGTTGCATCCAGGGGAGCGTTGAAGCGGAAGATGCTTGAATAGAATTATCTCATGGTTTGATGAATGGTTTGATAGATAAATTCACAAATAAACGAATAAATAAATCGGAAACCAAAAAAAGTACGTGGCTCAGGAGGCAAAAGGACTTCCTGAAAACCCTGCTTTGGCTGTATGTCAATACACAAAACTGAGGGCAAGTGCCGCCGTAAATTCGGAACAAACCCAACAACCGCATGTCAGATGCCAATTCCCCACAGCCGGCAGCCAGGGCCGAAGCGATCGTGAGCCCTCACTGCAAGTGCGGCAGCACGTGCTTCTTGAAAATGCGCTCGGATGACAGCCTTACTGGCAAGCTTTCCACAAACCCGAAGTGAGAGCTTTCGGGCTCCAAGCGGGGCTGAATGTCAGGGCCAGCATTTTGTGATCAACCGACGATCCTCATGCCTGGCGTTTCGAAGGCTGTGCTGAAAGGTACAGAAAGGCAGTGTGCCGGTGAGAAGAAAGGGGGGGCAAACTGTGTTTCTGGCGACTGGCAACAACGGCTGTCTCCCTTGTCCAATTGTTCAAAAAACTAGTCACTGGCATTGAGATGCTTTTATCCTACCAATCCAAGCCACCGAGCTTTGAGTCGGCAGATATGCTGCCCTTCTTCTGGCACCAAGGAAAAGAGCCGTCCAAGGACCGCCATTTTGCCGAGGCACCAGTCCTCGTGCACCACGCCTTTGACAGTCTCCAAATGCAGCTTCCCAGCTTCTTTCAGACTCCGCAGGCCAAAGGTATCCTCCAGAAAGCGATTGGCCTTCAAACAAATGTGTTGAACCACCATTCTTTAAACCATCTCCTTTTTGTCTCCATTTGTGGGTTGATGGGATTGGGGAGGCTGGCTATTTGAACACAACTTGCCCAACCCTGGTATTTTTTGTACCAAGCATCCCAACAAAAACCCCATGGTCAAGCAAAGCGCCACACCGGTGCTTCATCACCCGCTTGAACATGAAGAAGCTGAAGACCAAATATGTCGGCAAACAAATACAACCAACACCATGTGCAATCTGCCAGAACTTTGGCAACGCATGGGTGAGTCCTTTCGGCACGGCACCCAGGAGATCAAAATACGGAGATCAAGGGGATCCTGCTTCTGGCTTGCAGTTCCTCCGACCCCTTCAAGGCTGACCCCCGCTTCTGCGCATGTCCTCCACGAATAGCTTCTGCTTCTCCATTGGCAGGATCTCGCTGTCTGAGCCTAAGAGCAAAAACGGGAAATGAGCACACAAAGAACTGAAGTCATGAAGAGTATCAACTTGTTCAAACAATTCAAGCAGAAGTATCCAATGGAGCAGACTGCAATCTTGCAATCCCAAACGTGTCCAAACCCGCAAAAGGCAGGGATCACATCCAGTTGCGACTATCTCAAACACTGGCCACACCGCCCCTTCCGCTTAAGCCTCACGGCATCAGGAAAACACCTGAAAGCGCCAATGAACGCTGGTCCCCGTCATTCAGACACGGTGGAACCAGAGCGGTCCAGTCAAGCCCATGAACCGCAGCCAAAGCAACTCCACACAAGGAGCTGGCTCTAGTTCTTATTCTCAGCAAGGAAACTGCCAAATGTCAAAGGAGCTATGCAAACTGCCACATTAGAAACCCAAATTGATAAGGTTTGATCACAAACCTGTGTTTTTCCAAATGTGCTGTTCTCTCGAGGAAACAAGAGTTGTTTCCAGGTGAGGTGACATTGGGACTCTAGCACAAATCAGGGGCCTGCAAGCTTGGTGGGCATCAAGCAAGGCCAAACGATCCACAATGAATGAAATTCTGACATGAACGCAGGCCAAGCTTGAATAAGTGAATATGTGTCACAACAATCAGAATCATCAGCAGTCAGCTTCTCTTGCTTGCCATGTTGTGTGTTGTTCAGCACCATCAAGCCAGTTTCACGGCGGTTCACAACCCACGAACTATAACCACCCAGGCCGTGAGTGAAACCGAGGTGCCTTCCCGGTAGAAGCCGAAGACGCCCGTCTGCCAGGGCTGCAAGCCCAGCTTGGAGTCAAAGCTCCGCTCAAAGGAGCCCACCAGAAACCTCCCAAAAAGCTGCCAGTAGAAGGGGGTGGGGGGTGGGGGGTAAAAAGAACATCAAATAAACAAGCAAGCAAATAGACAAGCCCACACACACACAAAACAATAAAAAGGACACATATATATATATATATATGCAGTCAGCACGTATCAAAGCACTATCTTTCTCTTACAGGCGTTGCCCGATGTCAACCGCAGTGCAAGTATCTCTTGCCCGTCCACTATGCACCTCTCCAAACGAACCAGCTGAAGCTGCCCCGTGCTGATCATCGAACCTTTGCAACCGCGGCACACGGCGCGGCCAAGACGGATGAAGTTCCGCCGATGGCGCTCGGTGTCAGAGGACTCTACTTCTCCATTGGCCCGCGGCAGGAAGACCTCAGCTGCAAGCAACGAAGGGTCTGCTGCCCTCTCGCCGGGAAATAGCAACACAACTCCGCCCAAACGTCAGAAGCATAGCACAGCACAGCCCTGCCAAGGAAAACACAGGACCGACGAGAGGGACCTCTCACCAATCGGCGACATCTGTCCTTGTATATCGCAAAAATATTCATTGATTCACACGTGTGAAAGGTCACTAGTACAATTCCTTCCTAACTTATCCATTGGTGAGATGGGACTCAAGCCTGCTGCGATGTTTCTTCTGGTTCCTTCCATAGCTCAGGCACATTGCCCTTCAGGTACTCCTCCTGGTGTAGAGGGTCATGCCAGAGGTTGGCCAGCCTCGGGGAAACGCAAAGCGACCCACTCAATTCTTGAAGCAGTTTCCATCAGGCTGTGCCGAATCCAGCCCAACGCCAAAAGCTGGCTCCCTCCGCGCTCCTCTGACTGAGCGCCTTCGCCATTCCCCTGTTAACATGGCTCGAAACAAAAAGTTGGGCGAACTGCAAAACGTGCCAGAAATTGCCCCTGCAAATGTATGTCTGCTGAGCGGCGAAGTCGCATGCTGCAAGGATCCATAGGCAAAACTGTAGAATCTGCTCGACAGCACAGTCGCCCCCGCTGACACCAATGGTCCAGGGATGAAGGATGGCAACCTCCATTGCACGTGCAAGAAAGGACAGTGTGTGTGTGCGCGTGTGTTTGTTTGGGGGTGGGGGTGGGTCGATCTGCCAGAATGACGTGTGCTCCGCTTCAGTTAATCAGCCATACCTGTCGTTGGTGCAATCCTTGTAGATATCGGAGTTCAGCTCAGGGCCGATGATTTGCCACACGCGGGGCTTTGTCTTCATAGGCAATGCTGATTGGTGGGCCACTACTGTTCCGAGAGAATTAGTGCATATAAAAACTGCATACAAAAAGACTGCATGTTTCGCCCTCTGGAAAACGTCTTTGAGGCGGCTTTGTGCAGAAAATGCGTTTGGCCCGTGGGGGCTGAATGACAACCTTGAATCACATCAGAGCACTCATTTGGACCCCATTCCTGACAATCGCTAAAGAGTGCACGGGACAACTCCCCCAGCTCTTGACCGGCAAATCTCAAGCTTGAAATTTCTTTCAGAGTTTCCCGGCTTCAAGACTATGACTAAGTAAGCAGTGCGTGCTTCGAGAACCGAGCCCACGAAGCAACTACTTGCTCGTGTGGCCATACCTGCCATTCTATCCGCTACGATCAAACCTGGCCAAGAGTAGGGCTTGCTAGGAAGCAACAATGTCACGCTGCAATTGCCTATCCTGCCCAAGTTGACGGCTGGCAGGGAGTCAAACTCAAACGGTTCGAATGTATACAGGAAATAACATGGGGTACCAGGGCAACTGCTTCCTCTTTCTTCAATTGATGTGCAGGTACCAATGTGTGTCCGCAAGGTATCCTTCTCCAAAAGTGCCCCCTTGGCTGAGTTCAAGGACCGTTCGGAACTTCAAATATTCTTATGCTGAGCTCTGCCATTTCAGGGCTTTCGGTTTTATACCTGGAGAGGAGAGACGTGGCAAAACCTGTACCAGCAGTCGGAGCATCATTGTTTGCAGTTGGGAGATCAGGCCCTTTGTGCTTGCAATTCATCTACGTTCCGGGGCTTCATGAAGCGTAATTGGTCCAGTTTGATGAACATGATTCAGGCTAGGTCCGTAAGCCCAGAACTGCATTGCTTCAATCATGCGCATGAAGAAAAATGGAGCGCACATTGATGCTGGTCTCACGTTGACTTCGTGTAACATGTAAAAGAACGCATCGCGCAACGACCTGGGCGTCCCAGCCTTCCTGTCTTCCAATTCGAGTCAAGGCACGTCGGCATGGGCAGCTGGTTCTGCAAGAAGGGCTGCGCAGATTTGAGCCAGGTGGTGCCGTAGACTCCCATCCTCAGCTCGTTGCTCTAGGTCTTCACATTCCGCACAAGTCGGAGAGATCCCCCCACGGAGCAGTCAGCCAAGTGATCAGCATGAGCAAAGAATAATGCATTGAACTGTCAAACACTGAGAGATACTTGCCAAGCTAAAACATTGACATGTTGCAAGAAACCTCTCCAAAGACGTGTGCGTGTGTCGAAAGCAGAGTGCGTGCTTCCCTCAACGCAATGCGCCAACATAAGAAGAGGCAAAGCCCCAAAAGACATGCCCAACCAGCTCTCAGACGCTGCTCACGCAACCATCGTTTGGACATGCGCATTTCCCGGGCGCAATTTCATAGCAGCCGAAGAGAACGCAAAAACATCAGCAACAACATGATGATCCTTCTTACTGAAAAGGCCAACGACATGGAGGCTGCTTTGGTCCTTGCAGTTCAGCTGTGTCCCTAGCATGTATTCAAAGCTAGCTGTGCAGCATGCTGCAAGCCTGCAATGAGTGCTCTCAGAAGAGAAGGGGCCAAAGGCACCCCTTAGACTGAATCAAACAAGAGACTACCAACAAACATCGCACCTGTTCTTGAGGTGATAATGGGTCAGTGTCAGACTTCATCTCATGAAGTGCATCTAGCCAAAGGGGCTGAGCCTTGTGAATTGACACCCAAGCCGATTTCTCTTTCGTGAGATAAAGTAGTCGATGCATCCGAGCCACTGGGGCCCAGCTAAGGAGACGAGGCTCCGCACCCGGTGGTTATCCATCACCTCGGCACGAGCATTCCGGATCCAATCGGAAACCGCTCCGTCCTCTGCATCAGTAGGAAGAATTCTCAAACCCGGATCAAAAGTGGTAGGAAGCCTCTCTTGCGGGCTTGGTGATGGGGTCATTTCGCAGAGGCCCATCATGGCTGGCAGTCCGTTCCCGCCTGCACCGCCACACGACAAACCAACGCCCCTTGGGAGTGGCACAGCAGGTTGTAGCCATCCCGAAACCTCGCAGCACTCCGACCAAACACATCCCGAAAGCAGAGAACGTTGCAAGAACCATTGGCTTGCAGTGTTTGCCAAAGCTGGAGACAATGCCATGTTGGGCAACACCACAAGCGGCTGTCAAAATTGGAATGCATGATCGCTGCGCAAGGACTACCACTGCTATTTAGCCCCAGCAGCTCGTCTGGGTAGAAATCATCCAATTGACCGAGATACCTCGGATAGACCGTGTCGCAAATCTCAGAGACCACCAAGATATGCCATGCGCTTGAAAATCAAGCTTTCTCTTGGCCCGCGAAAAGGTGTCGCCATGCATGTCCTTTTTGTACGACTCTTCAGGCATTGGAGGATCTGCCAGCACCTGTGACATCGACCAGCACCCAGCCGCGCACTCTCAGTTTGATAAGGACCTCCACAAAAGCGTGGTCTTCAGAAGAGCCCATGATCGCATCGCGTAGAGTCTCGTGCTTCGTCTAATTACGGCTGCTGAAGCAAACTGGAATCTGTCCATGGCTCGGTAGTTCCTCAAGCCAAAACAAACAGGGATGGGTGATAAAAGCATTCATATTTGTCATTCTTGCTAATGGAACAAGGTACTAAAAGTGAATGATGAATGGAGAAAAGAAACATGTTTCATTTGTAATAGTGTAATACATCAAAAAGAAAAGTTGTACGGATATGCTTCTTTCCAAATCACTCTGTCCTATGCTCTGCTATTCTATATCGGTAGGAGACAGCGACAAAAGGAAACAGGATGATGGAGACAACCGTTCTTGCGACACATGCTACTACAGCGTGGCTCAGTCCAAGCTTCGCAGTGAGCCCCGCAAGCTGCTCCTGCGTGACGCTTGATGGATTCACTAACGTCCAACCCCCCCCATCTTGCAGCGATGCTCATTCCCCTGTCTTGCATCGGGCCGCGCATCAGAAATGATGATTTCAAACAGAAGGTTGCTCGAAACGGCAGCGTTCCTTCAAGATGCTTGTATCTATGGGCCTTGGGCCTCAGCACCTCCCCAGTTTTGCCCGAGCGGCTTTTGGCAGGCTGGCCAAACTGGAAGCGGATTCCGCTGTTCTTTGCAATGTCCCCGTGTTAATGCTTACAAATAGCTGCACCTGAATGGTCATACCTCAAGCATCAGTAGCTAAGCACTGCATGAATTATGCAAAGGGGCGGCGGTGGATGCAATTGATGACTTCGCCCCAAGCTCGTGGCGCTCTCGAAGCTGATGCGGTCAAGCCATGATTTGATCTGCGACCCTACAAACCGCCCTAATCTGCAGGCTTTGTGCGGTCACAGGCGAGAACGCTTTAGGGTTCACAAACAAGGCATGTGCTCGTCTCCTAGTGGCGGGGTCTGTTGGGTGTCTGTTGGTGAGGTTGTTGGGCGACTCCTGCAGTGGCTGGAAGGAGTTGGCACCGGAGTAGATGTCTACTGGCACTGTCCTGGTGCCTGGCCCGCTGATCGAGAACGTCCATGTGGCTATGGCTCAACATAGGGAGACAGCAAATCATGGGGGTGTGTTCCTGGCTTCCCTCTAAGCCAACCTGGAAAGGTTACCCTCAAGCAAAAACAAGCATAGGTAAAAGCGACTTGGTGGGCGACGGCTTGCCACTCAATCTTTGAGGCTTCTTATCCTAGAAGCTGGAGGGTAGCGTCAGGCAGGCATAAAACAGGCCACAAGGTTCCGTGGGGACCACCATGCGGTTTTTTGTCGCGTGCGTTCCCTCCTTGCCTGGGTGCTCCTCTTCAATCCACCGACGGGCCAGCGCAAACTCATCTGGCGTTTCCGCCGCGCCGTGGAACATCACCTAGGCCGTCGCGTCGTGAAAGTCCTCTGGACGCTGCCAGCATGTCAAATCACCGAAACATCATGGAAGCTCGCATGTCACATGTGGCTGTGCCGACCCAAATGGGAGCTGAGCGACCAGCACCTGTGTGGTGAAGCCGGAAGTAAACCAAATTAGTCAATAAAGGGTACAAATGCAACCGAGCTATTGAAGCAGTTGTTCTGATGCTATCAATGGTTGCGGCAGTCGATTGTTTTAAGGAAAAGGAGGAGTGCTATGCTTTTCAGCATGTCCCCCTCATGAACGCAATCAATCGGTGTTGTTATCAACAACGTAAACCTTGAATCAATGCTGCCATTGCAGGCCTAACACGTCATTGTGCAAACAACTCCCGAGTATTCGGGTTGAAGGCGGCAAAAGCACTGTCTACACATCCGATTACAATGCAAGAAGGATCGTTGAGGTGGTGACAGTGCACACTCTGTCCATGTTGTGCGCGGAAGCACACAAATGTAACTGGAGATTCTTCTGTCCGGTCCGCTCGTCTCGCATGCCTCACGAAAGACCAACTGAGAATGCTGCTTGCCAAAAGAGAAATCAGAAACTGGAATTGGAATTCGCCAAGACTCCAGGCCTGCCATTCAAGCAAAACCCCAGCTGGGTTGCCAACGTGCAGCCTCTTGCTTCCGACGAGTTGCTACAGGCAAGAGCGAGGACGAGTTTCCACCTCCATGCGCCTGCCAAAGATCAGGCCTATGGCTTCTTGTGCAAGAGTGACATTGATGACATGTTTATGATGGCTCGCGCTGCTCTCAAAGAGACCCAAAATGGACCATTACTGTCTGCTTTGAAAACGTTGATTTCTAAGACTACCACCTGACAAGGGAGCACATGTAAAAAATGTCAACTGGCCAATAATGGGTGGCAAAGCCAATGCCAAAAAACAATCAGCCCGAAATCCACCTTAACCCAGCCCACCCTCAGAGGCAACTCCTTGGATACCAGGAACTCCTTGGATGCCAAGTCCACAGCCAGCGCCGAGCTCCACTTGCTCTGCGCCCCCAGCACCGCCAAACCCCCCAACGCCAGCACGGCGCCTCAGAGCCGTGCGTCAGTGTCCCCCCGGCGCCACACATGTGCTGGAAAATGAGCTGCTGCTTGGTTTGTTTGACTTTGCTCTAAAAGAAAACGAAAGGATCCCGGCTTCAAACCGTCGGAACCCCTCAGCCGCCGGCTCAGAGCTACCCCGTGCCACGGCCGGCACAGCTGTGGGTGCCGCGACGGCTCCAGCAGATTCTTGGCCGGGCGAGGCCCACTTTGGGCAGTGAACATTTTATTGGCCGGGGATTGGCCATTTGTTTCAAAGGCACAAGGATAGACCGGGCGCTCTATCCCAACAGCATGGTTGAACTTTGAAATGCATGATGAATCTGTTTTGATGTACAAGCCCCGACCCTCCAAGAGGAGTCACCACATGTTGCAATCATGCATGATGGACACTAAGTTGAAGTTCGGACCTGCAAACCTGTTGTTGGACCAGATGATCAACCAGGCCTGGCGTAGTGCGTCTTCACTTGGCTTGATTCAGCCTAATTCGACTGGTGGCTCTCCCCAAACTGTATATCTCAAATTCCGTGCTGTTTAAGTTTTCGGAAGCAACAAAACCTTTGACGGAAAAGACTATTTTAAACAAACAAAACTGCAAAACAATCAAAGAAGGAGAAGAAAAAAAAAATGCAACAAACCAGGATGGACTCGAGCTACCATCGTCATGTGAGCTCAAACAAATGATGTCACCCTTAAAAACTGGAAACCAACTTTCAACAAGAGTGGTCTTATAAGTTTAAACAACCGCTTGGCCCAATTGTTGTTTTGTTTGTTTTTCCTTGTTTGGAAGCGGCTTACCTATTCTCTATGCAAACACATTTGATGTTCAAGCATAGTTGTAAAACATGTGCTTCACAGGCCCACTCCATGCCAAGTTTGGCCATTTCATTGCAAGTACATGTCCAAACTAGAACCAAGTTTGTCTGATTTATTGCAAATTACACAGTCTTTGTGTCCGACCGCAACCGAAAAAAATCGACTTGTACCCAAAAACAATGTGGCATCATTGGAGGCTGCAAGTTAAAATGTTGTTTGACAACGGCTTTCCAAGACATGCAAAAGCATGGCCAACAAATGATGTGGTAAAACAACTTGCAATGCTGCCAAGCATCATAATGCTCCGTCTCCATGGGTGCAACACCTCTAATGGGCTGCTTGATTGTAGCAACTACATCAAATACGACAGAACAAGAACTGGATGCACTGAAATGTCTTTTCACTTCCACCACAATTGAATGAATGATATCACATGACATGCACGCAAGATTTAACCCTGCACACAAGCGCCATACAAAAAACACTGCAACATGGCGTGTGCCTGTGTACGTGCGCGTGGTTGCCTTCAGTGCGATTTCCAATTATTCATGCAGCATCGGACATCTTGAGCAGTGGCCGGGCGTGGAAAATAGTCGCGCAAAAAACATCTGACTTCTGATCACATTTCTGGAGTCGTGTCACCGAACGCGTTTCACAAACGTGTCAACCCCAAAAATTATTGAGCCCTATAAGCTGTATATCTGGTCAAGAAAACCGAGCATCCAGATTCTCTTGCACTGATATGAAGTCGCACCTGCTTGTTCCAAGTCTGCAAAAAGGGGGGCTACTCATGCAGTGGTGGAGTTTGTCCTCGTAGCACGTTGGAAGTTTTGGCATTGCGGAACTGAATCGCCTGCGCAGCCGATTGCAGCGGTTCACTTTTGACACGGTAGCAATGGTACAAGCTATGTATTGCTGCTACGAAGCGAGGTAGAGCACGCCGCGTGGATGGACTCCTGTTGCTGCAATGGATTTTGATTCGTCAACACTGCTCCTAGCTTGAACCCAAACAACCCTCACATCAAAGATCCCCGCAAATCCAAAAGGCGCGCACGTAGGGTGGGAGGATGGTTTCAATCGAAACAAACGGTTTGGGTTCAAGGCTAGGAGCAAAATGGCCACCAAGAGATTCACAACAGGCCCTAAAGGAAAAGAAAACCCTAAGCGTGCCTGTTGCACTGCTCCTAGCTTAGGGTTGCTTGGAAACACTGAGGGGGGGCAATTCCTCCTGCTAGGTGCACCGTGTGCCCTGGAGGCAGCTACTTTCAAGCAACCCGTGAGAAAAGAGTGCGCGTCTTTTGGATTTGCGGGGATCTTTGATGTGAGGGTTGTTTGGGTCGGAAAGAGCTGAGCCAGGTAAACGACCAAACCCCCCCTTCAGAGCCGGCTTGCGCCTGACAGGGCGAATGCGCATTGTTCACAAACTGCCTTTGTGCGGCTTCTGGCCGCCAAGGCGCATCGATGGAGCACAGAGCGCGCCCCCTTCCAGCTTGAGCAAGGCTGCGAGGGCTGAAGCGCACGCTGTCTGCAGGGCGGTTTATGAAACGGTGAAGGCGTCCTCGGCAGGTCGCCAGTTGTTCAGACGTCCGGACACGTGTGTGGGCTGCAAGTGCACGTTGTGTGCGTGAGCCAGGTGGCCACCAGTTGCAGAAACAATTGCAAAGGCCAAGAAATGCTGAAAAGCTTGTTAAAGGTCCCGCGCACTGCTCCTAGCCTCAAACCACAAAGAACCCTGAACCCAAAAGCCGACAGCAAGGCGCGCACCTTTTTACCGGGTTGCTTGGGAAGGTGGCACTTTCCTAGGGCACTGCGGTGCACCCAGGACAAGGGGCGAGATGTTCCCCCCCCTTGTGGAAAACAAGGTTGCAAGACAAGCGTGTCCTTGCATTAAAAATGCCAGACGGGGGCCGTGGCAAGCGTGCCCACGCCCGCGTCAACGGACCTGCGGGTCCAGAGAAACCCAAAGGGCCAGACCGCCGGTCTGGGCCCTGGTTCTGAGACACTTGCGCTTCCGGCTGACCGACCTGGAAGGGCAAGTCGTCCGACTGAGGGGCTCATCCTTGTCGTTCGTGCTGTTTTTGGATCACGTCTAATCCCACGAAGGTCTTTAAAAAAATATTTCCTATTAAAAAACCGATGAAGCAAGCGCAACCGGCGCCAAGGCCAAGAGGCAGGCCCCCGGGCAGCAAGAACAAGCCCAAGCCGCCTGAGCTGCCCCTGCCGAAGAGCAGAAAAACGATCCCAGACCTACCCACTGACCCAGCGTACTATTACGGCTCCGCACCCATACCCAAGAGGCTGAGAGGGCCCCCAGACCTGCCCACAGAGCCAGTGCACGAAATACCCTTCCGACCCAAGAAGCCCAAGGCAGCACCCATGGCCAAGGCAGCACCCAAGGCAGCACCCATGGCCAAGCGCCCAGGGCAGCACCCAAGGCACGGCCAGAGCCCGAGGTACAGCCGAGGTACGGGAGCCCGAGGTGCGGCCCGAGCCCGAAGAAGCGCCTCGCCCAAGCGAGCGCGCCATGCGCATGCTGGAGAGGCAGTCTGCCTACGACCGGCTGACGGCAGGCGCTAGCGTACTAGTGTAAAAGCGAGATGATGTCCATAGAGCCCCGCAACGAGCCGCAGATGCTTCGGTGGTTCCGCAAGACCTACCCCAGTTACGACCTGCAGCCGCTGCTGCTCAAGCGCCAGCGGAGTCTGGAGGAGGCGCGGGCCTTCAACAACTGGCTGGGGAGCAGGCTGGCAGCGGCACCTGGACGACGTGAGCAGGCTGACGGAGGCCGTGCACCGCCAGGTCCCTCAGCTGCGCTACGCGCGCGCCGAGCGCCGGGGCGTTGAACACGCAGCGGGCGAAGTTGCCGCACCCTTAAAGAGATGAAGGCGCTCGGTCCCACGGCTTCAACCAGCGCCCGCTTCGAGCAGGGTGTGGGCTACATCGAGCGGGGGAAGCCCTTGCCCCTGGACCAGCGGGACCGCAAGGCCACCTCGTTCGTTACGAGTCACTTCTACCTGGACGACTTCGTGGAACCCGCTTTGTCGAGGACGACCTGGCAGGAGACCCCGGCCGACGCCCTGGCAAACAACGGTCAGGGCCCGCCCTCCATCACGAGTCGTTTGCGCAGCGCGACCGACGGAGCGCAGGCGGCAGCGGACCTCGTGGGCGCAGGAGCAGCAGGCTTGCAGCAGTGCAGGCCTTCCGCTCCAAGCTCCCCCAGGACGCAGCCGAGTACGTGCGTGAACGTGATGCCCGCCCAGAGCCGAGCCACAGCGGCCCCCGGGGGGCTTGGCTGTGGCCCTACACCCAAATGTTACGCAAGACCAGTCCGTCACTCACCTCATCCAGAAGCTTGGCATGACTGCAGGGCTTCCGCAAAGTGAGGTGGGAGATGATATCCAATCATCTTCCGCACATGCGACAGTGTCCGTAAGCAAGAGCAAAAAGGAAAGAGTCGGCTTCTGTGCACCATCCTTGGAGCACTCGAGCAGCAGCACAGCATGGTGTCCGAAGCCGACGGTCTCAGAATTCATGCCGCCATAAAGAGGCGTGACAACCACATTCAAGAAATCGCCGGAATCCCGAAACCCATGGTAAAACGCCAATTCAATGCAGCACATCTCATGAGGGCCCTTGCGAAGGATCGCAACCTGAAACTTGGGTCCTTGGCCACTCCTGCTCTTGGCGAACTTGCATTCCTCCTCCCCTAGGACCGCAATTTGCGGGGCAGCGTATTCCAAGAAATAAAGCACCACGCGGCACCGCTGCAAAGAGGTCCATAAGGGCGTGGAGCAGAGATTGCTCTATAGCATCCTTGGCACCAACAGCCTGTTGCAGCACTCGCAGGCGTACGTGTCGGACTACTTTCTCGAGCGCAGTCTTTCGCGAGGTTACACCGTCTCCACAGAGAAAGTTGATGGCGGCCAGGTCTCCTTTCGACCACTGCTCGAAGTTGCTCTCAACATGTCTGTACCAATTCTGACCACGTTCATCCATATCCAGACCACACCAGCCAAGGGCATAATGCAGGGCCTCGAACCTGTATTTCGTCGGCACTGCGTCCACATACTGACATTCAAGGTCCTGGAAAGTGACACGCCCATACAGTTGGTGGGGAAGGACAACCAAATGCCCATAGCGATGCCTCGACTGCCTCCGAAAGGCGGCCCACCATGCAATCCTGCAGGAGGTTGGGCGGCATAGCAACAGCACCGACCACTGTCTCACCTGAAATGCATAGCCGTCTCGCAAGGACATCCAGCCATGCGGCAGAAAAGCTGCCAGCCGAGAATCCTCGAAGGACGACCCCTGCCGGCGCATTAGTGGACGACCGGGCTCCGGGAGCCCTGCAATGGCCGCGAGGTCAGAAATAGAAGTTCCCTGCAGGCGTGGCACTCGCAGGGTGTCTGGAGCACGGCGCGCCTGGACTTCTCGGTGCCGCCGGGCGGAGTTGCGAAGCTGCACTTCGGAGCCTTCGGCGGGTCGATCCCCTGGCTGGTGCAGCAGGCTGGACCTGTACAGCATGCAGATCAGGGCCAGCGCCTTCGAGGGAGAGTTGGTCTCCGTGACGGACCTGCGGGGAAAGGCTCCGGCGTTTGTTCGTTGTCGATACGCCGGAAAGGGTCCAGGAACAGCCTCTCACACTTCCGGACCGGTCCGGAACTGTGAGGGGCACCCCTGGCCGAACTCGGGTTCTCAGCGCTAGCATGAGATAGGCGCAATTAATTTAATTTTCAGGAAACAGTCCGGGAACTGTGAGGGAAGCCCGCCCGAGTTAGGCGAGCAAGAGACAGGCGCAACTAGTCAGATAAATTGCGGGCTTCGGGTTCAGCTATAAGCTGTCTGAGGGCCGTAAAATTGTTGCCTAGCGTCACTTCCTTCCGCGCCATGTAAGAAGCGCAAATGCTTCGCAGCCCTGGCGGTCAACGGCGCGCCGGTCAAAGAAGCTTTGCGCGCTTGTTCAACGGCCCTGACGCTGAGCAGCGCTCGTCGTGCCCTGGCGCTTGCTGGGCCTGTGGACGGAACAGGCCTTGGCCCTCTTTGTCGTTGCCCAACCCCCGCAGAGTAGCGGCAGGCAGCTGCGCTCTCAGCCGCGTCAGTCGACGATGTCTTTTGACACGCATTCACGCACGCTTTTCAACATTGAATTTCTCCCCGCACAAGGTCGCAAGCGCTAACTTTGCAAGCTCCTGGGCGCAACCCTGTGACAAGCAATCCCCGTTTTGGGGCGCGAAGACTTGTCGTTGCGCCGACCAGCGGGCGGGGGACATCTTTGGCTACTCCTTTGCATTTTGCTGGACACGTGGACGTGCCACACACATGCGCCCAAAATGATTGAGTTTTCCCAACTCGCTGCTTCCAGCAAGGTTTTAACTCAAACTTAGTGTTCAGTCAGAAGCTCAAGAAAACCCAGACTGACGCTCTCCAAACTTCTGAACCCATCGCTACAAAACTTGGAAAATCAAGCTGGTTCGGGCAAACTTGATTTAACAAAAGTCTTTGGCTGTTCGTAGGAGGCACGAAAAAATGTGCTGGTTCACACCGGCGCTTGCCAAGCCCTTGCCGAGCAGTTCCAACTTGCTGATCAGCCTGCCGTCGCATTCGTAGCCATTATAATATAGAACAGCTCACTAGCTCCAACACTGAGCTGAGCATAAGCAAGCCTGCATCTGTGTAGGGAGTTCCATGGAAGATCAAAGTGGGTTCTGCGGGCTTTCAGGCGCGCCGCGGATTGCTGCGACATTCTTAGCCAGCGCCTGCTTTCCCCAGGCTTTTCTAAAACCGTTGCAGCTGTTCTTGCCTAGCGCAAAGAGACAAACACAAGGGCTCAACGCGATTGATTGCGCTAACAAGACCCCAAATTAAATTAATTGCGCTAACAAGACCCCAGCAGGTCGAAAGCTTTGCAGATCCGCGCCGTCCACGGATTTGATGCCATCTCACGGACCTCTCTGGGCAGGTCGCCCAAAGACAGGTGCTCACAAATGGCCGTGGTCATGCTCCAGACCGGGTTCACGATGCGCACAACATGCTTGCCAATGTTGTGGTGGCCCACAAGGTGCTCACGCAGCATGGGCCATTCCTGCTGCGCAGGCTCTGAGATGTCCCCAGACCTTGGGTGTGATCCTTGGTTGCTTCTTTGGCCTCTCCCCTTCACGCTCTTCCATCGCCAGCCCATCATACAATCTCCCCAAAAGACTGCCAGGAGGTGTGGAGGTCATGCGACGGCACACTGGGATTTGTCCATCTCCCTTGCTTTTAATCTTCAAGGCCCGTTTTCGTAGCGAAAACAGGGTGTCAAAAAGTTCTGGCGTCCGACGCACATGAGCCAGGTCCAAGTGCTTGGTAATCTCGGCCACGTCGACCTTCTCAAATTCAAGAGAATACTTGGGCTCTTCTAAGTCTCGACAGACTTGAAGGGCCTTCATCCACAGAATGGTTCGGCACGTCCGTGCCTGAAGAAGTTGGCACGGAAACAACGGATGCCACTGTTTTCTCCTGCTCCTCCGATTCTTCTTGCTGATCCTTCTGTGGTGGAAAGCACTTCGCGCACTTCTTTTTGGCGTGATGCAGGTCATTGGGAAAGGGACCGCAGCGAACTTTCGTGCCATCATCTGAGGCATGCACTGTACCAGAGTGTAGGTTCTCGAGAAGTATACTGACCATCCCACTCAAAATGACACATTCAAGCCAAAACAACTCGCATCGCAACCTTTCAGTTTCACATGTGAACCCGTGAATCTTGACAGGCAGCAGCTTCATGTGAACCCGTGAAGGCCTGGAGAGGCTGTAAGGGGACTAGAAAAATGGAAGAGTTGGAGGACCCAGTACACGTGAATTTGTGAAAATCCGAAGCATGAGAGGGCCGCACCACAAGAAGACCTGCGGGTCGAGCAAAGCCTGGCATGGGAGGTGGGAAAGCAAGGAAAAAACATTGTAAAACCCAGCGTGGCCTCACCAAGGCGGAATGACGAGCTGCACCAAACCTGGATCAGTGTTTGAAGGGCGAGCTCAAATCCATCCACCTATCAACATTGACAGCACGGACAATAAAGACGCTCCCCGCCCCGGATCAAGAAGAAATGCCCGAAAAGGCTGCAGCAAGCCGAATCTCGCCTTCACAAGGCTCAAGTCCAACCACAACCGACAACGTGAAAACCGTGAGAAAAAGGCAACACCGGTAACCCGTCATGCAAAATGGACAAAAATACGTCTTTTCCGGAAATGGCCCTCGAGCCGCTTGAGCCGGGGCCGATACCTTGGTCGGACCACCTTTTTTGCAACCCCGCTAAAAAAAAACGCCGGCATCAGATGACTATTACCGCCAGGCCTGTCGTCTGGCAGCAGCGTCCTCTGGGAGCCCAGCAGTTTCGGCAAGGACCAGGAACCTCGGCAGAACGTCTGCTTTGCAATGGAGAGGGATTCCAAGGCCTGGGCGGCCTGGGATGAGAAGAGATGCGTTGGCGAACTATCGGCGCGATGGGACGACAAGAACGTGAAGGACAGGTGGCAAAGCTGCCTCAAGGAGTCGCGTCAGGGAACGACCTTCCTGAAGCGCAAGCTGCGCTGACGGAAACAGGATCCGGAGGGGACTCTTGTCCCTTCTAAAACCACGTTCTTTTGACCGTGGATCCCCGACGCAAAAGAACGCGCCCGCAGAGACCCGTTTGGGGGCCTCGAGAAAACCCGCGACGAGGGCTGGGGAACCCACAGAACTTCAGGGCCGGGCGGCCACCTTGCCCGGACCATTTTTTTTCGGCCGGCCTAAGAAAAGCAATCGACAACAATGGCATCCTGGGCAAGGCAGCGGGAGCATATCAGGAAGGCGGTCGAGGCCGGATCGAGGGCCCGGGACACGGATGACGGAAGCCGTGTCTTGGGCTTGAGGCGTGCTCCAGCGCGCGGACGGGAGCGTTACCAGGGCCGGGGAGGCCTACTTCGGCATGCTCGGGCGGCATCGAGGACCTTCGACCCAAGGCAGCCGCTGGTCAGGGGCCTAGTACGGCGGCTGCGGGAGGACGGCACCTACCAGCTGACGAACCTAGGGCTTCAAGAACAAGTACTCACAGCACGTAGCACACATCCCAGTGGTCAGAAGGGGACTGCGGCGGGCCGGTGGAGTGGCCAGCCGGCCAGCCGAGCCCGACAGGCTGTCGGAGCAGCAAATACTGCAAAACGTCAAGCGGGAGACGCTGCAGTTGGTGGCTGCGGCGGACGAGGACCGCGGCAGAGGCTGCGAGGCCTGCGCCGCGTGTCGTACCAGCTGCCGTGCTTCAACAGTATCCTGGAATGCGCATTCGAGGATTCCGGGGACAACGCCTGCGCGCCGCTTCGACGCCCTTGCAGAGCACGACTGGCGCGCGCACGGCATCTCGCCGGTGGAGATACGAGCCTTCTGCGCGCGGCGCAACGCGCCCATGGTCCTCATCTCCAACACCGGCGAGCCCCTGCACCGCTTTGAGCCCGCGCAGCGGGAGGCCAAGACCGTGGTGTTCACCTACTACGACGGGCACGCCTTCTTCTACCGGAACGCCCGGCCGGCGCTGGAGCAGATGGGCTGCGCGCTGGTCATGCACCGCGACCCGAAGCAGACCGTGCCGCCGCTGGAGGAGTGGAGCCCGTGGCAGGGCGAGATCAAGCCGGGTCACTTCCACACGACGGACCTACGGGAGACGAGGCGGCAGCTGCTCGCGGAGCACAACCGGCAGGTCACGCTCCGCTCGCTCGCGCAGTTCTCGAGCGTGAAGCTGCGTGCCAAGGGCGGGCAGTGCGTGATCCGTGAGCTGCCCGAGGACATGGGCCAAGGGGCTGGGGCTGCACTACTGCGGGCAGAGGCTGGCCTCGCTGAGCTTCGAGGCTTTCTCCACGCTGGTCAAGGCGCTGCTGGCCGAGCAGGGAGGCAAGTGCGCCGCCTGCGGGCGGAGTTCGACCACATCGTGCCGGCGCGGCAGGCCTTCGCCGGGCAGCAGCAGCGCTTCCAGGCGCTCTGCTTTGAGTGCCACCAGATGAAGACCGAAAGCATGCAGCCCACGTCGCTGGAGTCGCGGTTCACGCGCTCGGTCTACGACGCGTACGTTTTTTTTTTCCAGCAGCCTCCGTTAGTGTTCCAGGCGCGGGCCCCGGGCAGCGGACCGCTCGAAGGCGTGGACGTGGCGCGCTGCCGCAGGAACGGGCTGGCCAACGCACCGTTCCCGCTGCCCATCTTCTGCCCGGCCGACAACACCGAGCCGGCGCGGCCCGGGCACCTCGCAGACCTCTCGTTTGTGGACCTGCAAAATCGGGGGCGCGATGACGCTGCTGCCCTACGTGGGGCCGGGCTGGTACCCGAAGGTCTCGGTGGACTACATGCTGCGCAGCGGCGTGGCGCAGTGGTCCGACGTGCTCCACACGATGAACGCGGCCAGCCACGTCACCGCGGAGTGCCTGGCGCCGGCGCTGGACGTCATGGAGCAGGCCTGGCCCGAGGGCGAAGAACATATGGCAAAGCTTGCAGTGAACTCGATGATCGGGCTCATGGCACACGACAGCAACAAGGCGTACACGCTGCGCAGCAGCAGCAACGAGCTGGACGCGACAGGGGCCGACACCAGGCAGGTATTCTACGTCGGCGAAGGCCGGTACGTGTGGGACTTCATCACCACCCGCTCAATCCACAACAACGGAACGCTGCGCCCCATCCACGACTGCGCGCTCGGCTTCGAGGCGACGATGGTGGCACGCATCCGACGAGAACTGGGCTTTCCGCCAAAGTACATCAAGCAGGTCAAAAACGGACTGCGTGGTGCTGCAGGGCATGCCGTGGAAGTTCCGAGACAACCTGGAGCGGCTCGTCCACAACACGTACCCAGACGGTAAGCCCAAATTCCGCCACGAGGAGACGGCGAAGCCGCTGCGAGGCAAGCACGCGCCGCCCTGCATGCAGGCGGAGCCGCCAGCAAGGGCCGCCGGCTGGATGGACGTGGCCGACCCTGCGGCGCACTGCCTGGCCGGCCGATCGCTCCTGCTGACCGGGCGCGGATCATCGTGACCAAGCTGCGGAAGCGCGGCGAGGTAGTGCACCTCATCCGCAAGACCCACAGCGCCGCGGGCGCCGGCGCGAAGACGGCCGACCACTGGGCGCGCAAGTACGTCGGGGGGCCAGCGTGCAGCGCCTGGACTGGCTGCTGGTGGAAGAGGTCACGCAGCTCGACATGGGCCTGTGGGCGGACATCGCGCGCGTGTCCCTGAACCACGACGTGCGGTTCCTGCTGGTGGGCGACTTCCGGGCCGTGCTGGACACCTGGGCCGGCACGCCCGTCGACAAGCCGCTGCGACACAGCCAGCTGATGCTGGACCTTGCGGGCGGCTGGCGGCACGAGCTGACGGAGAACAAGCGCAGCGACGCGCGCATCTTCGACCTCGTGCGGAGCCTACGCGTGGACGAGCCCTGAAGCAGAGGGAAACCGAGCTGCTGAGCGAGAACTCGCAACTCAAGGCGCTCTGCTAGCCACGGATCTTTTTTTTCAATGCGCCTTGTCACAGGTTCAAGCGGCGCAGCTCCAGGTGCGCATGTTTGTTGCAGTACCAACCCCTTTTTTCCCCCTCTTTCCGTTTTTTGGGTTCCTCTGGAGGACACTGTCCAGCAACTGAAAGAGACGAATGCACAGGACGCTCAAACGTCCCAGGCTGTTGGCTTGAAGTGTTACTGTTCTTTCTTACGAGCTTTTGTCGTTTGCAGGCTCGGCGTCAAGAGTATTCCGCCAAGATTGCACTGATGACCGCAAAACTCCAGGCCCTCTCATCACCGTCAAGTGTTGTGTTCTTGTGTTTCACGCAGGACACAGATGGTAAATTGGACCTCTCCACCGAGCTCGCTCGGGAGCGCAAGGCGCAGGTCGCTGATTTGCAAAGGCAGAACAAGGCCCGGGCTTCGGTTTGCCTGTTAATTTCGCAACTGGCGTTTTTCAGGACTTGGAGAAAAAACTGAAAGATGCCCAACAGCGGGCTGCGCTGCTTGCATGTTTTTGACGTTCAAACGGCATAATTGCACGCTCCTGTTGCAAGGCTCGTGCCGAATTGCAGATCGTGGGCATGGAGGAGCCCAAACGGCGTTCCAAGAAGGCCAAGGTGGGCATTTGTTTTCCTCTTTGTTGCACTTGCCCATTCTCAAGCTGCGCAGGCTGAGTAGTCGCGCGCCAACAGATGCTGTTGCCCTTCCAAAAAAACATGACGTGTCTTCGAGACGGGTTTGGCATGCTTGTGCGTTTGACGGATTGTGCGTTGACATGTTGGAGTTGTTGTTGACATCGGCAGACTTGCAGGCTCCGTCGCAGGAGCGGCTCCGTCACAGGAGCAGTTGCAGGCTCCGTCGCAGGAGCGGCTCCGTCACAGGAGCGAGGAACGGCTCCGTCACAGGAGCGGCTCCGTCACAGGAGAGGCTCCGTCACAGGAGCAGTTGCAGGCTCCGTCGCAGGAGCGGCTCCGTCACAGGAGCAAGGAACGGCTCCGTCACAGGAGCGAGGAACGGCTCCGTCACAGAAGCAGTTGTTGCATGGTGCTGACTTGAACGTGAGCGCATCCGCCGTGGCTCGCCCAACGACCCCTTAGTACTGGCTTGCCCAACCTTGTTTGATACTGGCTTGCCCAACGACCCCTTAGTACTGGCTTGCCCAACCTTGTTTGATGGCTCGCCCAACCTCGTTTGATGGCACATTCCTGCCTGGCATAGAAGCCTCCCGGCCGCGCCACCTGCCAGGCATTGGAGCCCTGCCGAGCCCGCGCCGACTTCGGTCTCCTACCGAGGTCGGATTTCCGACTTCGGTCTCCCACCAAGGTCGGAAATCCGACTTCGGTATTTTACCCGAAAAACCCATCACCGGGCCAGCGCCAAAGGTCCGTCAGCGATGCCGTCCTCGCAGCATCGTTGACGGAGTGTTTTTTTCACCATTCACACGCCCTACGGTCAATCCTGGGCTGGGCGCAGGATTGCCCCCGTCAATCCTGTACTGGGCGCAGGATTGCCCCCCTCAATCCTGGGCTGGGCGCAGGATTGCCCCCCTCAATCCTGGGCTGGGCGCAGGATTGCCCCGGCGCACTACGAGCAGCTCGGCTGTAGAGCTCCCGGGCCTCCGGCACGTCGTTGACGCTGACGACGAAGGGCAGGCCACTCGCGAAGAGTGCGTCTCGCAGCTCCGAGTGAAAGACCAGGTCGTGGCCCTCCCCTCTCGTACCATAGTAGTTCATACTGCGGCCGGGGAAAATGTAAGGAGGGTCAGCGTAGATGCACTGGTGCGCCAGGCGGGGCAGAGCGCGTAGAGAGGCCAGCGCATCCTGGCGCCGCACGGTCACATTGCCAGACGCCGCACGCTGCTCAGTGCCAGTGGCCTCTGCTGCGCGAAGGAGCCCCACTTTCCCGAGAAGCTGTTGCGCAGCAGGACGTACGAGCACAGGAAGGAGCGCAGGAAGACCGGGTCTCGCCTCAAGTAGCAGCGATGCAGGTTTGCGACGGGCTCGAAGGCGTCGACGGCGTCCGGCGGCGAGGTAGTACTCCAGCTTTCCAGAACAGCTTCGCAGGCGGCGCGACGGCTCTTTCCGCGCAAGCCAGGCGTGCCGGACACCACACTCGCGGATGGCGATCAACGCGGACGCGAACCGTCGGCTGGCCCCGGCGGACGCGCAGCTCGTGGAGCCAGAGGAAGACCCGGACACCGCCGAACAAAACAAGTCGCAACCCATGCGCGTGTGGCCGGGCCTGAAGCTCATCGGAGCGGGCGGAGCCATCAAGAAAGGCACGTTCGTGACAGCACCGAGCTCACCCCGCAAGAGCTCTCAAGCCAGACGCGCCTTGCCCACGCGCTGAAAAGGGGTCGCAGCAGAACAGCAGCTTGCGGGTCCAGTCTCGTCCGACCAGACGTGCGGGCCAACCCCGTTTTGGAAGTGTCCGGTGGCTTGCTGCGGGGACGGTGGGGGCGGTCCGGCTTTAAAGAAACGGACTGAAAAGGGGTCGCAGCAGAACAGCAGCTTGCGGGTCCAGTCTCGTCCGACCAGACGTGCGGGCCAACCCCGTTTTGGAAGTGTCCGGTGGCTTGCTGCGGGGACGGTGGGGGCGGTCCGGCTTTAAAGAAACGGATGCCCGCGCTGCATGGAGCTCTTCCAAGGGCACGGCTTTCTTTCCCCCCCCCCCCCCACCCCCCCCCCCCCCCCCCCCACCCCCCCCCCCCCCCCCCCCCCCCCCCCCACCCCCCCCCCCCCCCCCCCCCCCCCCCCCCCCCCCCCCCCCCCCCCCCCCCCCCCCCCCCCCCCCCCCCCCCCCGCCCCCCCCTCCCCCCTCCCCTCCCCCCCCCCCCCCCCCCCCCCCCCCCCCCCCCCCCCCCCCCCCCCCCCCCCTCCCCCCCCCCCGCCCCCGCCCCCGCCCCCCCCCCTCCCCCCTCCCCCCCCCCCCCCCTCCCCTGTGGACGAGCCTTCGACGGAATCGTGAGCCTTGACCTGTCGCCCAAGTTCGAGCCCTCCATCTGCTGCAACATTCTGCAAGCAGTTCCTCTGCTGCTGGAGGCTGCGCAACCAGCACGAGCTGGACGCTGTCGTCGAAGAGCCTGCCGAAGGACAAGCTGCACAGGATCTACGGCAACCCGGGAACCCTACAGCTTCCTCTTCGTCTACTATCTGAAGCCTAAGAGCCAAATGTTCTACTTACGCTTCGAAGAGCGTTTCGCACTGGAAAGAGAAGCCGATGGGAGCGGCGCTCAGCTTCCTGGGCCAGAAGCTGTTTGCCAGCTCCACTCTGATCAACGCGAGGTGTGAGAACATCTTTTGCTGCACTTCCGTTGCAGCCGTCCCACGTCGAACTGGTGGCTTCTTTAGAAAAGGGATGACCACTATCTACGTGGACAGCCGCAAGAGGGTGGCCGGCTCTGACAGCGACTTCCCAATGGTAGAAGTGGCTCGCGATGAACGACGTGGCCTTGGCGGCTCATTCCGCTCAAGGTAGCCCACCACCTGCTCAAAGCGCGGACGCTGATTGAAGCCGTGCGCCCGAAGTGTCTTCATTTCTTTTACTGTTGCGCAACTTCGTCCGCCGCCCGTTCCACGCCCCGGCGCTCGGCGCGCGCGTAGCGCAGCTGGGCCCTGCACCTGCAGAGCGACGCCAGGCCGTCTACAAGATCAGAATCGCCGACAGCTTCCTCTCGACGGATCGCGGCCGCTACCTCTACTGGGTCGACGCCGCGCTTGGGACTCTGAACTGGGCTCTCCTGCCGGAAGGCGCCTACACGGGCGCCCGGCTGGCCGCCTGGATCGGCTCCAACTTTGCCACAGCCGCCTGCAGCGACCACAAACAGCCTGAGCGTAGCCTACGACGGCAACCGCCTCATCCTGAACGATCTCCCAGACGCTGTGGACTACCCCACCGTGGACCACATCAGCCGCGTGTTGGGCAATCTGGGGGGCGACATCTTGTCCAAGATCACGCTGAAGAGCGGCGCGGGCACCATCGTGGACCGGCTCCGATGACGGGCACTTCATGGCAGTGAGCCCCATCACACTGAGACACATGCGCTTCCGGCTGACAGACCTGGAAGGGCAAGTCGTCCGACTGAGGGGCTCGTTGCTGTCGTTCGTGCTGTTTTGGATCACGTCTGACCCCCGAAGGTCGTTTTCCTATTAAAAACCCGATGAAGCAAGCGCAACCGGCGCCAAGGCCAAGAGGCAGGCCCCCGGGCAGCAAGAACAAGCCCAAGCCGCCCATGCTGCCCCTGCCGAAGAGCAAAAACATGATCCCTGACCTGCCCACTGAGCCAGCATACAAAATCGACCTTCCGCCCCAAGAGGGTGAGATTTCCCAAAGGCAAGCGCGCTCCCCCAGCCCAAGCCCAAGACAGCACCCATGCCAAGGCAGCACCCAAGGCAGCACCCATGGCCAAGGCAGCACCCAAGGCAGCGCCCTTGCCCAAGGCATGCCCAAGGCTGCACCCAAGGCAGCGCCCAACGGCTTACGACCGGCTGACGGCGGGCGCTAGCGTGCTAGTGTAAAAGCGAGATGATGTCCATCGAACCCCGCAACGAGCCGCAGATGCTCCGGTGGTTCCGCAAGAGCTACCCCAGCTATGACCTGCAGCCGCTGCTGCTGAAGCGCCAGCGCGAACTGGAGGTGCGGGCCTTCAACAGCTGGCTAGGCGAGCGCAGGCAAGCCCAGGGCACCTGGACGACGTGAGCCGGCTGACGGAGGCAGTGCACCGCCAGGTACCCCAGCTGCGCTACGCGCGCGCCGAGCGCCGGGGCGTCGAACGCGCAGCGGGCGAAGTTGCCGCGCAGTAACCCTTAAAGAGATGAAGACGCTTCGGTCCCACGGCTTCAACCAGCGCCCGCGCTTCAAGCAGGTTGATGGGCTACATCGAGCGGGGGGAGCCCTTGTCTCTGGATCAACCTGGACCGAAAGGCCACCACGTTCATCACGAGCCACTTCTACACGCTCCTGAGGGCAATTCCGTGTGGCTGCAAAATAATGACCCCTAGATATGCTTGCAATTTGGCTCCAGGTTGCATTTCAAGCGAGCCAACCTTTGCAGGGCTAAGAAACTAGACGACGAGTGGCCCGGAAGCATAGAGGCAAGTTGATGCAGGTGAGGTAACTCTCGCAAAGTTAGCATGAGGAGTTGGCAGGCGAAGCAATTCTCAAAAAGTTGGCATGAGAAGCTGGCAGGTTAAGTAACTCTCGAATAGTTGGCTGGCCAAGTTGGCGGGTGAAGTAATTCTCGCAAAGTTGACATGAGAAGTTGGCAGGCGAAGTAACTCAAGAGAAAAGTTGGCATGAGAAGTTGGCAGGTGAAATAACTCTCAAAGAGTTGGCATGAGAAGTTGGCAGGTGAAGTAATTCTCGAAAAGTTGGCGTGAGAAGCTGGCAGGTGAAGTAATTCTCGAAAAGTTGGCACGAGAAGATGGCGGTGAAGTAACTCTCGAAAAGTTGGCGTGAGAAGCCGGCAGGTGAAGTAACTTTCGAAAAGTTAGCATGAGAAGTTGGCAGGCGAGTAATTCTCGAAAAGTTGGCGCGAGAAGTTGGCAGGCGAAGTAACTCTCGAAAAGTTGGCAGGCGATGTTGGCAGGTGAAGTACCTCTCGAAAAGTTGGCATGAGAAGCTGGCAGGTGAAGTAATTTTGCGAAAAGTTGCCACGAGAGGTTGGCAGATAAAGTATTTCTCGAAAAGTTGGCATGAGAAGTTGGCAGGTGAAGTAATTCTCGAAAAGTTGGCAGGTGAAGTTGCCACGAGAGGTTGGCAGGTAAAGTATTTCTCGAAAAGTTGGCATGAGAAGTTGGCAGGTAAAGTAATTCTCGAAAAGTTGGCATGAGAAGCTCGCAGGTGTAGTAACTCTCGAAAAGTTGGCATGATAAGCTCGCAGGTGAAGTAACTCCTCGAAAAGTTGGCACGAGAAGTTGGCAGGTGAAGTAAC